AACGAACTTCCACGAGACTCAAGTAAATCGGGTAATACTTTACAACTAACGTGATAAATAAAATGGTCATTTTTTAGTTAATGCTAATTTCAACATAAATTCAATTTTTTCTGGTCTTTAATAATGTTCGACGCATGAAAAGGTTTCAGTTGGAAATTTCTGACATTTTTAAATGTTACTTGTTTCAGAATGTTCACAGAACGTTCAAAAGTAACATTTTCATAATCGTTGAAGAACGATGTAATTGGAATGTTATGTTAAAGGGGCTTTATCTAAGAATTTTCATGTATTAATTGTTTTTTTTATTGCCAATGTGTGATCAGCTTGTAACGAAACGTTAAAAAACATCGTTTTAAAAACGCTTTTCATTTACATCAACCCGCGTAAATACGCTGTCGAGCGCCATCATAACTCTGCCAAACTGGGCGCTCGCATGACGTTGCGCATTTTCTGGCGCATAATGTGACGTTTGAGAACCCAACACACACGGCAACACATAACCGGCGTTATCGGACATCTCTGGCCGGAGTTTATAGAAATAATCGTTTTCTGTGATAAAAACGGGGTTTTCGTCTAAATGCGAGCCCAAACCGCGGGGAAATATCTTCGTGTTCCCTTTGTGTAAACGGGGCAGTATAAGGCCGGATTTGGCGGGAAATCAAAAGGATGTACCGTTTACGCTCCCGAGACCCTCTTTCCCATTCAACGACACACGAAACAAACGAATGCTTATACAATGTTCAGGATAAAATAGCCATAAGAGCCGTTCTGTACCGTAACTTTATTCTTAAATATGCTTTTAATCAAACTATAACAGCGTCATCTGTCGTCATGATCGGGATGTTCACTGGCTACTTTTTACTTCCAAGCAAAGAACTTCTCCGTGAGTATATTGAATATTGAATCATGTTCAGACTCGTACGTTACGTGAGCAATAAGTTGCTGGCCGCAGTTCACTTAATGCCCACCGGTGTCGCTAAATACCAAGGGTTTCTGAATTAAATAACATTAAATTAAATTAGGGCTGTGCAAAAATTAATTGCGATTAATCGCATCCAAAATAAAAGTCTGTGTTTACATAATATATTTGTGTGTGCTGTATATAATTATTTTGTATATATAAATACCTATGCATGCATGTATATATTTAAGAATTATTTGCGCTTAAATTCTGTATATATATATATATATATATATATATATATATATATATATATATATATATATAATGCATAATCTATATTATATAAATATAAATATTTTACATATGAATAACACATTTTCTTAAATATATACATGCATGTGTGTGTATTTATATATACAAAATAATTAGATACAGCACACACAAATATATTATGTAAACACAGACTTTTATTTTGGATGCGATTAATCGCAATTAATTTTTGCACAGCCCTAAATTAAATTAAAGTTTAAACATTAAATGTTTTCATAACTTACATTTTTGTGTTTGCTGGGTTATCGTAAAGCGTAGATGAGTATAACTGTGGTGTTTGTGATTCTGCACCTCCAGGGTTTACTTTAATTCAGTTTACCAGCAAATCTCGACTATGTAGCGCTCGACTAGCGCTAACCAGCACACACACACTTGAGGACACATGAAAGTAAAGTTATTATTTGACTGTTTTAAGTGTTCAATATGATCATTATGGAGCAAAAGTTTTGCTTTTTTTAATCTTATCTTACACAGAAGGAACGGCCCGCGCATCTCACATATCCTGCAAGCCTTAGCCGTTTCTTGTCTTTGTGTGAAAAGTGACAGAAATGGTGTTTTTGGCTTCCGCTAATGTCATTTAATCATGTGACACCACGCCTGTATGTTCTCGGATCCACGATTGCTGTTTTCCACAGACGATGAACAATGCTGTTGTCTTTTATTTTTCTTCTCAAGAGAAGCGAACGCTTGCCGGCATGTTCTGAACCGCTAAATGCCATATTAAATATATATAGCTTTTGATTATTATGTAGCATATCTGTCGTCGTGTAGTCACTCAAATCCATGAGCTCATGGGCAAATGTACAATAAACTTTGTATATCATAATGTTCAGATGATGCTGTCGTTTATGTTCACGTTTGTATTGGGATCAGTGTTGGGTAAGTTACTCTAAAAAAGTAATTAATTACTAGTTACTAATTACCTCTTCAACAATGTAATTAGATTACTGTACTAATTACTCTCTTTAAAAAGTATTTAATTACTAATTACTTTCAAAATCCCATATCAATCTCAACCAGCTGAATAATACAAGGATAGACATGAATCTGTTTTAATTCTTTGAAATAAATACTATAAAATTGCATGAATTATCCTTAAACTGACCAAGGTGGAGAAGGTTACATTATAAAAACATACTTTTTAACATCAGACAATACTTTTTGATGTTAAACCCTCTATGTTTTATGTCTGATCTCGTGACATTTTACACTTTTTCATACATATTTTACAATAATTCATACAAATTTGTACGAGTGCAGTTGTACAATTTAGACGCCTCATAAAATGCATATAGGCCTACGAATCGCTGTATGATCGGATTGATCTATACACGGTATTTATTTACCTCAATTACATCAGAAGTAACTGTAATTAAATTACAGATAAATTAAGAGTAATCCCTTACTTTACATTTTCAATGGAAAAGAAAAGTAATTAAATTACAGTAACTAATTACTTAGTAATTAGTTACACCCAACACTGATTGGGATATTCACAATATAAATCATCCCAAAACAGCTTTATTTTAAAAGCTTGATTAGTTATGCATTGGCCTGATTCTGGATCAGTCTGAATGGACGTTGTTTTGATTTGATATATTTTTGTGATATTCCTGGTTATATAATTTCACTCAGTCCTTTTTGTAATGTGCTGCTTGTGTGTGTGTGTGTGTGTTTTGACTCCTCGGGTGGTGTTTGGGTCATGAAAGCGGGTTTGATTGTGACCTGAACATGTTTTTGTGAGTTTCACTCTATTATTGCATGAATATAATGCAAGAGGAAGCTTGTAGTGTGTGTAGGCCTGATGTAGTTCTTCCATTAGCAGCCTCTTAATGTGTGAATATGAATCATAAATATTGCACACTCATGCACTTACACATAGAGTGTGTGTGTGTGTGTGTGTGTGTGTGTGTGTGTGTGTGTGTGTGCGCGTGTGTGTTTGAGAGAGTGTGAATAAGTGTGTGTGTGTGTGTGTGTGTGTGTGTGTGTGTCTGTTTGAATGCAAAACTCTAAATGAATTTTTTCTAGATTTATCAGAGCTGTGTGTGGAGCACGAAGTCCTGCTCCTCCTCGCTGGATGTAAAACAAAAATAGTAATAATTTGACTAATTTCACATTTAAACAAAAAAAAGTCATTTGTTTTTTTCTCTAATGATAAATCTTATCATAATGAATATTACTTAATTAATCTGCTTCTTCTGTTAGCTAAATATGGTATTAATGTAAATTTGGAAACAAGCCTTTGTTTTTAATTTTGTGAGCAGAAACACAATACTGGGTTTGAACAATAAGAAATCTGCAAAATGCACATTTTTGTTTAACTTTTATGTTTCTCACTGTTTTTGTTTTACTCATTGTACCCCCTGACTGTAAGTGTAATTCTTAAAAGTCAATAAAAAATAAAAACTTAATAATAATAATAAAAACCTCTTGCAATAGGCTAAATTGGAACGTGCTGAGGCTATTCCAGTACACCATACATCGATGGAGTCGCCCCTGCATGCCGAACCCAGCAACATATCATTTAATGATTATGCAAACCGACTAATAAATGAGTTTTTTTTATGCAGTTGAAGACGAAAAGTAAAGTCACGAACACAGTTTTTCCTCCTTTTTTTCTTTACAGCAAGATGATGTTTAGGTGATCATCAAATAAAGTACAGAATTGTTTATTATTGGTGTTTTGTCTATTCTGATTTATTTTGCTTCGCATTCTAAATATCAAAAAACAGATTTTGTAATGTTAGCATGGTATTGTTAATTAGACCATTATAGGTTGAACTGAAAGAAAAATTGGAATTTGGATAAAATACAAATAAAAACATTGTAGCAATATAATATCACATAGACTATTTTTCAGAAGATAGTTCAATCTGTAATTGTATCCCTTCCATCAGTAACAATGAGTTTGTTTGTTTTTTGGCACATGCATTAAGCAGGGAACGCAAATATTTATTTGCAGACCTTAATATTGCATCCTATTGTTTTTAATTGCATTTGGATAAGCGTGCACTGTACTCTGTGTGCGGGTGTTATACGATCTTTCGAACAGCAGGAGGCGCTGTGTTCGAAAAGTTGGGGACTGTAGATGCAGGCTCCGAGGGATCCAGGGTCTGTCCATATAAACTTGTGCTGTGTCCATCTCTTTTACTGTCTATGCCTGAAGGAGCATATCTGAAGTGGACTAACCACTTGGATTCACAGAGCAGTGACAATCAAACTCCATAAGGGGGCGTCACACCATCACTTGTGTTATGTCTTTCCGTGTGTGATTTTAGGTTGAGGCTTTTCTTTTATTAAAGGATTAGTTCACTTTTTAAAAAAACTTTTGCTGATAATTTAATTCACACGATGAAAACAAGATTTTCTCCATATAATGGACTTCATTGGGAACCAAACGGTTCAAGGTCCAAATGAGAGTTTCAGTGCAGCTTGAATAATGGGTATGGGTCTTATCTAGACGTGGACATCTTGGATGACATTGGGGTGAGTAAATAATCAGCAAAAGTTTTTTTTTTTAAAGTGAACTACTAAAAGTGTAAACCAGCTGTATCATCTTTTATGATTGATTTATTATGTGCTGTATAACATGAAACACCTGAAAACTATAATTCATGAGTTTTAACTGAAAGTGTCACAGTGCAAGCTATTTTTGGATGTCATGGATATATAATGGTGTAGTATAATTACTATGGTGAAATAAATGGGTTAGTTAAACGATGTTTCAGTCTTTGCCATCGAACAGATGATGAACTACATTTCCCACAATGCACTAAAATTTGCCAACAACTTCCCAGGAAGCGTTTATTACCGACCGCTGCCAACATGGACATAAACAGCAAACCAGAGTCTCACGAATTACATCTGATTCACTGAATTCATATTTGCATTTATATGAAGAAAAACACCGTGTTCTATATCGCAATCTTCACTAGAGCTCGTGACTGTTTACGTTGTTTACTTAGCGCCGCAGCTAAGCTAAGCTAGCAGTGTTTGTGATGTGAGCTGGTCAATAATAGTCTGTAATCGAGGATGTACACTTTATTATCGGGTCTGTACAAATATGTGTTCCAGAAGGACGAGTACTGCGTCCTTATCCTCGGTTTGGACAATGCAGGGAAGACGGTAAGACTAGTCGTAGTAAATTAATAGTTCACGCCGAAAACACTTCCCCAACATCAGTTTTGCTTTAGTAACATTTTGGGCTTATGATGCACAAACTTGCCTAGGCAGGCAACTTGGAAAGTAGTGTCTAGGTAGACTGCTAATCAAATATTAAGACTACTAAAATATGCCATAATACAGAATTTGAGACTGTAGTAAGTAAACTATTAATCTCACTAGTTAGGTTGCACACTAGGTTTTGACACAGTTTCTGTATTAGTATGCAGCTTATTTACTTCCTTGAATAAATACGATGCTCAAAAGTCCAAGGTTAGATTCACATCTCATTAGTTTTGAGACAATTCTGTTCTTTTCTTTAACATTGTAGACCTTTCTGGAACAAACAAAAACAAAATTCAGTAAAAACTACAAGGGGATGAACCTCTCGAAGATCACAACTACAGTTGGCCTCAACAGTGAGTAAAGCATGCTGTAAATCTGAAGAAAACATAATAAACACAGCAGGAGTATTACTCGTTTTTCCTGTTTGTTTCAGTCGGCACCATCGATGTGGGAAAAGCTCGTCTGATGTTTTGGGATCTTGGAGGACAAGAAGAACTACAGTCATTGTGGGACAAGGTAACACACCTTCTCTAAACTGATCCTGATGCTGTCGTTGATAATGTTCCTCTAGTGCTTTATAGAAATCCACTACAGAAGACAGGACCTCCTCTAATCTGTGTAATATCATGTTTACCATGTTTTAGTACTATGCAGAGTCTCACGGCGTGATCTACGTCATTGACTCCACTGATGAGGAGCGCTTGGCCGAGTCGAAGGAGGCTTTCGGTGAGTCGTACTAAATTGAGGAATCAATCAGAACCTGAACAATCAGCAGTGTTTTCACATCACAGAACTCAAAACCCGTGCGTAAACACCGAAACTGCAGATTTTATTCGCTTAGTCATTATTCGTTTGATCTTGCATATCTGATCTAATCACATCACAATTATTTAAATTTCAGTCATGTTTTGCCATCCATAATAAAGGAAATGTAAGTGCTTGATGAAATGCCATCAAATTTATGATATTTTTATTTGGAGAGAATCATAATCTGGCGGAGAGTGAAGAATATAAACATGATTACAAAGATATTCAAAGGTCATGTGACATGAAAGCTTGTGGGTTTTCTTATATTATGTTATATTATATTATATATGCCGGTTACACTTCACAAATAGGTCCAATTAGTTATCACTAGTAAATTAAATCTGTTAGCTTTAAAAATGTAATCTGTTAAAATTATCTAATGGATCTTGAGCGAAATGTTTTATATATATATATATATATATATATATATATATATAAACATTTGTTACAGTATTTATTCATCATTATATATATATATATATAATGATGAATAAATACTGTAACAAATGTATTCCTACAGTATTTATTAATCATTGTTCAATATAATAAAAATCCAACTGTTAATTTTATTCATTCAAGGTCCGTTAAATAATATTAACAGATACAACTTTTGATATTAATAATATATTTGTACGTTTTGAAATAAACGTTTTAAATTAAATTTTTAGTTCATGTTAAATAATGGGAGCTTATTGTAAAGGGTTATCAATAATATTATTAATAAATAAATATTACACATTTTTACTAGGGCTGTGCAAAAGTTAATTGCGATTAATCGCATCCAAAATAAAAGTCTGTGTTTACATAGTATATTTGTGTGTGCTGTATATAATTATTTTGTATATATAAATACACACACATGCATGTATATGTTTAAGAAAATGTGTTATTCCTATATAAAATATTTATATTATTATAATATTGATTATGTATTTATATATATATACAGAATTTAAGCGCAAATAATTCTTAAATATATACATGCATGCATAGGTATTTATATATACAAAATAATTATATACAGCACACTCAAATATATTATGTAAAACAGACTTTTATTTTGGATGCGATTAATCGCAATTAACTTTTGCACAGCCCTAATTTTTACATAACATTAAAGTAAATCATATAGAACTGTTTTATTATAATTGTTATTATTATATATGATTTCAAGTAAAATAAATAAATAAGAGGTTTACACTGTATGTGACATGAACAAACCAGAATGAAATAGTTGCAAACATTTTATGCATATTAATATAATTTAGCAGTATCTACTCGGTGATTGAGCTGATCTGAGTTGCGACAGTATTGTTTAACCCTCTGGGGTTGTTCGTTTCAGAGTCACACTCGGGGTGTTCGGGTCCAAATGGACCCAAAGGGTGGGATTCATATTTAAAAAAAAAAAAAAAATCAAGTTTTTTTTTTTTTTTTTACTCGTTTTTTATAAAAAAAATTCTTTTCTTTTTTGGTGTTTTGAGAAAATTTCAAAAAAAAAAAAAAAAAAAATTATAATTAGTATTAATGCAATAATTATGACATCATTTCCCCCCATTGAACATAATAGAAAAAATATTTAAAAAAAAAAAAAAAATTTTTAAAGCTGTATTTCATTTTAGAGTCAAGCCTAGGCCTCATAAAAGCAATTTTTGAAATGAGATGGATGCCATCTCGTGGACAAACTGAGCATTTAAAAAACGCAAAACACATGTATAATCTGAATTTTTTGGTGTGTTTGTGTATAAAAGCGTGTGTGTGTCTGGATGTGTCTGTTTTGCACTCTTGATGTTTTATAGATTCACCCCTTCACTGTTGTGTGCTTTTTTTCAAGATCGTGGCTGATTTGTAGATTGTACTCACAAAAAAACTCAGTATTTTCACATTTTTGTCAATTTCCCATTCATTTTCCATGTGGGTCCATTTGGACCCGAACACCCCAAGTGTGACTATTTTTTTTACAACCACTTAGACTACTCACATCCTGTCCCCAATTCTTTTGGGTGTTCAAATACCAACAAAGTCACCCAATTTCGGACCATTCCGAGGAAGCTGTGATTTAAAAAAAATGTATTTAAATTAGGGCTGTGCAAAAAATTAATTGCGATTAATCGCATCCAAAATAAAAGTCTGTGTTTACATAATATATTTGTATGTGCTGTATATAATTATTTTGTATATATAAATACACACACATGCATGTATATATTTAAGAAAATGTGTTATTCATATATAAAATATTTATATTTAAATAATATAGATTATGTATTTATATATATATATATATATATATATATATATATATAGAATTTAGGCACAAATAATTCTTCAATATATACATGCATGGCATGCATAGGTATTTCTATATACAAAATAATTATATACAGCACACACAAATATATTATGTAAACACAGACTTTTATTTTGGATGCGATTTATCGCAATTAATTTTTGCACAGCCCTAAATTAAATTCTTCAGGTCCATTTGGGCCGAACAACCCCAGAGGGTTAAAGTTGCAGCTTTATACTGTAGTATAATTTAGATTTTGTCTGGTATATTTGATGGTTTGCCTCACTGATTCTGTTTATATGTGTTTCTCTACTGTGTAAAGCCTGATAGAAATAAAGGTGAGTTGACTTTGTAATGTTGTGAGTTGAACTGAAGCGTTGTCTAATCTAATGTGACCTCTCTTCATGAGCAGAGAAGATGATCAGCAGTGAAGTTCTGGAAGGAGTTCCTCTTCTCGTACTGGCAAACAAACAAGACGTTGAGGTATGAGCTCTGTGTGTGTGAGAACTCTGCACGTCTCTAGGTGGCGCTGTGCTCTGTAATGACGCTGTGTGTGTGTGTGTGTGTGTGTTCCTCAGAACTGTCTGTCTGTCCCGGACATTAAGACGGCGTTCAGCGACTGCGCTCCTAAGATCGGGAAGCGAGACTGTCTGGTGCAGCCGTGCTGTGCTCTGTCCGGGTACGTCTCCTCCATTATTGTTCAAGTGCACTTAGTGGAGACCCAACACACTGAGTGACTGTGTGTGTGACACACTTCAGCACATCAGAAACTGTGCTGTGTATGACCTATACAACGCATTACAAGGCACTTCAGTTACATAATCAGATTACTTTACAAGTAATTAGTGCCGTGCGACGATTAATCGCATCCAGAATAAAAATTTGTGTTTACATAATACAGTGTACTGTGTATAATTATTTTGTATCTTTAAATACACACACTCATGCATATATTTAAGATTTTTTTTAATTCATATATAATATATTTATATGCAGTGATGTGAATAAGTTTGGACCCCCATGCTAAAGTTGCCTAAAAAGAGGAATAAAAAATCATCTTTTGGATATTGATCTTAATGCCTTAATTAGAAAAATGAGGAAAACTCCAACCTTTAAGGACACAAATTTTCTTTGTGAATGAATAATGTATCATAAATAAATAAATGTTTTTCCTTAAAATACAGGGTGCATAAGTCAGGACACCCCTATGTTAAATTCCCATAGAGTCAGGCAGATTTTTATTTTTAAAAGCCAGTTATTTCATGGATCCAGGATAATATATTTTAATATATATTAAAATATCCCCACATCATCACACACCATCCACCACACCTAGAGATCGGCATGGTTTTACTTCAGTTAGCCTAATAGCTGGTTGGATTTGCATTGAAAGATGATCTTATGGAAAGTACCCCATGCCAATCTCTAGGTGTGGTGGATGGTGTGTGATGATGATGTGGGGATATTTTAATATATATTAAAAACATATTATCCTGGATCCATGAAATAACTGGCTTTTTAAATAAAAATCTGCCTGACTCTATGGGAATTTAACATAGGGGTGTCCTGACTTATGCACCCTCTATTTTAAGGAAAAACATTTATTTATTTATGATACATTATTCATTCACAAAGAAAATTGGTGTCCTTAAAGGTTGGAGTTTTCCTCATTTTTCTAATTAAGGCATTAAGATCAATATCCAAAAGATGATTTATTCCTCTTTTTAGGGTTATTCACATCACTGTATAATATCAATTATAGAAATAAATATATACATGCAAATATTTCTGAAATATATATACATATGCATGTGTGTGTAGAATCTTTGTGAATACGGGCCCTGGAGTTTAGTGTGACGGTGTGTGTGTGTGTGTGTACGAACCCTGTTGCAGTGATTATAATGACTATGCAACTGATAAAGATCATTATTGATGGTTTTACGTGATGGTTGTTTAAACGGTGTGTGTTTTCTGTGTTTTTCAGGCAGGGAGTGAACGACGGCATTGAATGGATGGTCAAATGTGTGATCCGGAACATTCACCGTCCTCCCAGACAAAAGGACATCACATAGAACATCATCTCTCTCTGTGTGTGTGTGTGTGTGTGTGTGTGTGTAGGGATTCTGTAAATGCATAGAGGATGCAGTGTTTCTGAGGACGTGTAAGTTATGATATTATATTGTCACCTCATGTTTGATATCTATGCTGTGTGACATTGTAGATATTTATACGCTGATCTCTGATGAGTTTTAAGTTTCTCTGGTAACCTTTTTTTTTTAATCAATCGCTACTAAAATAATGAAGACGTTCGTCATATATAATTTCAAGAGGTGTTGTTTTTGACACTCACAATCTTAGTTCAATTATCTAATAAACAGCAGAGATGGAAAACACAGCTCTTGTGTCTGGCTTTGATTTGCACGACAGATGTTTTCCCAACTCTCACAGATCCGGGAACGCCTCGCTCCGTCAGGACTGGCTTTAATGATTTTCCTCTGGTCTAAGATGAGGGCAACAGTGAATCAATAAACACCGCTCATGCTATGAATGTTAACACATCACATCTGTGACCTCTCTAATCAATCATACGCTTATATGTGTGTGTGAAAGAGTCAATATGATGTTTAACACGTATGCTCTAAAAGCCCCAGATGTTATGATTATTCAGTGACGTACGCAGTAGGAGTGTAACGATTACGATACGATATTATTGCAAGACATATGATAAAAGGTTAACAAAAAATGGACTGTTTGTAAAAATGCTAAATTTGGTGTTAGAATGTGTGTGTTTGTGTAAATGAGTAGTCTTGGACTTGGTGTCGAAACCCAAAGCACAGACGATAGACACACCAGAATAACAATATTCATGATTCTGAAGCTGAAAATACTGAATTTTAGATGAATATGCACTAACTAGATATTTAAAATAAAGTTAGCCTCAGTTTATTGGTAACATCTGGCATTATCAGGACACACTAATATTCCCTCATTGCATTATTATACATTATATTCAACATTATAGTAGTTTAGTTTAGTGTAGAACTGACACTGAAACACAAATATTTTCAGGATTTGTTATCACAACATATTTTCTTTTGTCAAATCAACTTTATAATAATTTATTTAGTTGAGATAACTTATTATTTTGAGTTTCTGATGGTTAAATTAATCTCCTTTATTGTATTAACTCACTTTTTCCAGTTCAATCAACTTAAAATTTTAAGGCAACCAGGTTACTTACTTTTTTAAGTTAAACCAACAATATTTTTTTAGTGTAGTAATCACAAATTTTCTTTTGTCAAATCAACTTAAATAATTTATTTAGTTGAGATAACTTATTATTTTGAGTTTCTGATGGTTAAATTAATCTCCTTTATTGTATTAACTCACTTTTTCCAGTTCAATCAACTTAAAATTTTAAGGCAACCAGGTTACTTACTTTTTTAAGTTAAACCATCAATATTTTTTTTACAGTGTACAGAAATTAAAATTTTGGGTGAATTATACACAATACATATTGTCACTATTCACACATTTTTATTTTGTGACGTGATATATTGTTACACCCCTAGTGCTAATGTTCATATGTAGTTGTTGAGATATGTCACGTGTGTGTGAGACGCTGATCTGCACTGCTGTATCTCAGGCTGTTCTCTTGTGCGGTTTCTTTAGGACAGCGGGGTAAATTGAGCCGGGCTTCGCACGCAACCCTTCATCTGAGGGTTGGCCATGAATACTGCATGAACACTTGTGTAACAGGGCATCCGTGAATCTGGAAGGGAACTTGAATAATAGAGCTGGCACTCTTATGGTGACGCTGCAAAAAAGGGTTTTAATAGTCCTTTAAGAAAAGGGGGGGTCTTTTTTAAAAAAATATGAAATATTTAACTGGAAAACCTTGTATTTTGTTCGAATTCTGGGTACGATAATATGTTTCGACTATGAAAACAAAATTTATATTAATAATACTCACACATTACCAAAATAATTAAACACCAGTAAAACATTAACTTTGTTTAAAAATAAAATTTAAAAAAAAAAAAAAATTATTTTAAATGTTTTATTTTTGTGTGCTCATCTGACGGTCAAACAGTAGATCATGTGTTTGATTCCCAGTGAAATGAACACTCTTGAACTGATTACATGTGTGCTTTTCTGTGGATGATATTTCGATTTAAACACCATCAGAGAGTAGTTTAGAAACGGATTTTGTTTAACCATGAAATTGTGGGTTAAATTGGCTTTATGCACAGCTCCACTACTTCCTGAACTTCAGCCAGCTCCTTGTTTCCTGTCTGCCATTATTGGACAAACTGATTAATTCAGGTGTGTCTGACCTCAGTAGTCACAACAACAATAATCAGGCACACCTGAATTAATCAAGTTTGTCCAATAATGGAAGACAGACAGGAAACGAGCTGGCTGAAGTTCAGGAAGTTTTTCATTCCACAAAATCTTAATTTCAGTACTTGCACAACTCAATTTGGTTAAATTGACCTGCAACATGATAGAAGGGTTTAGCAAAACTGTAACATTTAACATTTTTAAAACGTAACTTTTTTTTCCACCTAATTGCAAATAGCTTTTTTTCTACAAAATTTTGTTGATTTTTATGTTGGGCAGATTTTATTTATTTATTTATTTATTTATTTATATGTTTGCCAGATTTACAAAAAATAAAATAAACAGACTTGCTTATTCCACTAGTAATAATGTGCATTGGAACACGTGAAAAACCGCTTAAGTAAAAGAATAGTAATAACAAAAAATGCTATTACGGCTTTATCTTAAAAGGCTGCTCATTATAAAATAACCTGCTTCTATTGTTATTCCCGTCTTAATGTGTCTTTCTGATCAATCGCTGATTGGAAACGATAAGAGTGTTCGTCACAGGACTGAACCCAATCCCTCTTCTGTCCTGTCGATGAGTTATTGACTCTGTTAGTTCCTCATTGATCGGGCCTACAGTAGTCCCTTTAAAAAGACAATATCTAGAAATATTCAGTGAGAAGCAAAAGTCATTGTGTATTTTTGTCTAGTTTTCCAGTGCAACTATCGAAGCATTCTCAAATCAAGATATATTTACTACAGAAGCAAAATGACTGAAGATATTAAATATCATAATTAAGCAGATTTATGAATTACCATCCAAACCAGTGGTCTCAGGAAATCATCTTTTAAGCACAATCTCATTTAATTTTTGATATTGCTTCTCAAGTAAATGTGTCTTGATTTAAAATGCATATGAAATATTAATACCATATCAAACGTTGCAAGAACTTTTCTCAACCGAAATGACCTGATCTTCAGTGTTGGGAAATATGAACTGCATAACTCCGATTAAAGAGTAAAAATAGCTCTTGTTTCCAAGACAACAGCACTACATCACTTTATTGTCTTTTTTTCTCTTAGTTTATCTCTGGATCTGATCATATTCCAGCTTTGCCAGCGACATCGTTTCTCTCTTCATCTCTTGTCCTCTCCTCCTCCTCCTCCTCCCCTGATAATAGACCATCGCTGTGCGTCACTCCTTCAGTGCTTCATTCCCTTCATCTCTCGCCTCAGCATCCGTCCGGCAGCACAATGGACAGCACGGTTTCAGGTAAGAACCAGAACCAGAACCCTACCGAGAGTTTTGCATGACATTGGTATTATTGGTATTAATTATCATTAATAGATTTATCATTTCTGTTTAAACAAGACTCATTATGTGCTGATGCTCAACACTGCTGATGTTGCGCAATAAAAAACGTGTTCATTTGGAGGATAGCGGCAGTGCAGCAAAACGTGTCGCAATGTTGTAGATGAGACTGTCTAGATCACATTCAGACGCACACTGGAGTCACTCATCCACTGCATGTGACCTGAATCTGTGTGTACTATAGCCTACTATATGTGACCTGACCTCTATATATATATATCATCTGAAAGCTGAATAAATGAGCTTTCCGTTGATATATGGTTTGTAGGATAGGCCGGAATACAACTATATTGAAAATCCAAAGGTGCAAAAAAAAAAGGTAAATATTGAGAAAACGCCTTTAAAGTTAGGCTTACACTCTTAGAAGAAAGGGTTCTATATAGAACCTTAAAAGGTTCTATCAGCGCTACGTATTTGGAACCCCTAAAAGGTTCTATACACTCTTAAAAAAGGGTTCCTCTGGGTTCTATATAGAACCCTGGGGTTCCATAGAACCTTTTACCAAAAAAAAAAAAATGCTTCTAAATAGAACCATTTTGGAGTTCCATATATGAAGCGGGGGATGGAGCCATTTCTGGTTCTAAACAGAACCATTTCTTCTAAGAGTGTAGTTTACGGTTAGATTATTTACTGTAGGAAATTTACAAACTATCTTCATGGAACATGATCTTTACTTGGCATAAAAAAAAAATCAATCATTTTGACCCATTGTTGGCTATTTCCACAAATACACCAGTGTGACTCGTGTTCCAGAGTCATAATAGTCTGGTAATCTTGTGTCGTCTTCGAGACCTTGTGAAGAACCTTGAGCAGCCATTGCAACACAGCGGTTGTGTTTTGGATCTGAAATAGTTATATAAATAACAGCAGCACGTGTGATTTGTTGTAATGTCCGGCGGATGCAGCAGGATTTGAGCTGTTCGCTATCTCAGCTCTATTACAAAGTCACCTCTCTCTTGAGCTCATGTGTGATCGATAAACACACACACACACACACCAAACCGCTCGGGTTGGACGCACACGCCTGAAGAACTCGCTATAGTAATAAACACTAACATTAAGTCCGCGTCTATTAGGAGGAGTGCTGATTCTGTGGATCGTTTTTAAATAAACTTCTTAAAACATATTTTTAGTCAAGCTATTAATTTATTACTGTGATTTTTTTTTTCTCCTTGTTTGATTTATTTTGTTCTGTACATGCATGCTGTCCCACTTTGAGTTTGAGAAAGGCACATTACAAATTACATTTTAAAATAATAAAATAATAATATTATTAATAAATAATAATATATAATAATAAAAAATAAATAATAATACTATTATTATTATTATTATTAAAGTTCTGCCCCTTTTGCATGCATAAGAACATTTGTACTGTTTTGATTCCTTGTTGAGGATCTGTGTCACACATGATCATCATGACACACAGTTCACCTTCACACACACTCACACAGTGAATTATTTTGCTGACATGTGCTGTGGTGAACAAATCAATAATGCATGAATCCGGTTGAGGGTGCGGTCTGTGTGTTCATCCTTAATTCATGTTAAAGGTTTAGTTCATCCAAAAAATGAAAACTTCATTTTTGGGTGAACTATCCCTTTAACTAATGTAGTTAAAATGCCCCATGTATCCCTTAAAACTCATATTTGATCACCAAAATTATGTATTTAAGCGTTTTTTTTTTCCTTGCCTTAAAATATCTTGGAAATGCAGATGAGCCCCGCCTCCACTCACTCACTCACTCAGAGATCCACTGGTTGACGATCACACGTTGATCTGATTGGTTACAAGGTGGTTTGTGACGTCAGCGTGTTTTTGAGAACCGTGTTCAGTTTTAAGAAGGAAATACTCAGCAATGCTGTCCACTTATCAACTTAAAAGCGGATTAAAAACACCACATAAACAACATTAAAAGCTGGATTTACACCACAGGGCGACTTTAACCTTATTCAAGTGTTAATATTTCTAATTTTCCCAGTACGAAATGTATTATGTAGCAAAGGTGTCTGTTCTTTCCCCACCACATCTATATATGAAGAGTTCAGATGCAAAAGCCTCTAAGTGCCATTTGAAATTTTCTTCTAGAATGATCATTTTTATCAAGCTTGTATATTTAAGTTCAGTGATTTCACTTAAATGGCGATGATAATTACCTTGTTATTTAAGTGAAATTACTGAACTTAAATATACAAGTTTGATAAAAATCATCATTAAAGAAGAAAATTTCAAATGGCATTTAGAGGCTTTTGCATCTGAACTCTTCATATATTATACATCACTGTTTTCTTTCTTTCTTTCTTTCCGCAGCCTACTCTGAGAAGCTGAGAGAGATGTCGGTGTTGTCTCTCATCTGCTCTTGTTTGTATTCCCAGCCTCATCCCAACACCTTCGGCCAGTTTGAAGGTGGGAGCTTCAACAGTCAATAACTGGAGGCCTCAATACAAGAATATTTAACCCTCTAGTGATCTTTGCTGTTTTGCTTTGTTTCAATGAAAGTAATGTACTATATTTTATTGCATATTTTGTATTTTTAAGGCGTTTTATGGTACTAGACTATATTTACAATCCATTTATTCATGTTTTGAGCATAGACACTGTAAAAATATTTTCAAGATTTGTTATCACAACATATTTTCTTTTGTCAAATCAACTTTATAATAATTTATTTAGTTGAGATAACTTATTATTTTGAGTTTCTGATGATTAAATTAATCTCCTTCATTGTATTAGCTCACTTTTCCCCGTTCAATCAACTTAAAATTTTAAGGCAACCAGATTACTTACTTTAAGTTAAACCAACAATATTTTTTTTTACAGTGGTGTGAATAAGTTTGGACACCCATGCTAAAGTTGCCTAAAAAGAGATCTTAATGCCTTAATTACAAAAATGAGGATTGCCAATCTCTAGGTGTGGTGGAAGGTGTGTGATGATGATGTGGGGGTATTTTAATCCCAAAGGCCAAGGGAACTTTATCAGGATGCATATTATCCTGGATCCATGAAATAACTGGCTTTTAAAAATAAAAATCTGCCTGACTCTATGGGAATTTAACATAGGGGTGTCCTGACTTATGCACCCTGTATTTTAAGGAAAAACATTTATTTATTTATGATACATTATTCATTCACAAAGAAAATTTGTGTCCTTAAAGGTTGGAGTTTTCCTCATTTTTCTAATTAAGGCATTAAGATCAATATCCAAAAGATGATTTTTTATTCCTCTTTTTAGGCAACTTTAGCATGGGGGTCAAAACTTATTCACATCACTGTAGACCTGAAAATGGCATTTCCAACTTAAACTCGTAAATCTTGCACGCTTTCTCAATTTTGATGTCTTTTCAAAGACGACACTTGGCAGGTTATTGCTGACGTGAAAAATGTTTTAAAAAGCGAACTTAAAAAAAGTTACAGAATTCTATGTTTATTTTTATGAAAAATGGACAAAAACACTATTTAAAATTTTTATATGAAATCTACATTTTCAAAAACACATTTTACTCTAAAACTGCAAGAAAATCAAAGCCATAAATCTAAACAAGTTGTGTTTACCAATATAAGCTCGATATCTCAAAAAAATGAGCTTTCAGATCAGATTTAGTTCGGCTGCAGTACCAAACGCCTCCACTAGAGGAAACTCGTCTCCCGCTCATTTCTGACCGCGAGGAGCACAAGTTTGACCATTTTAAACAGAACCATTTAACCTTTTCCAATCATGTCCATGACTTTTTTTCACACATAGCAAATGCCAAAACCTTTACCATTCGTTTCGTACCATTCCGATGAAAAAATTTCCGAAGAGCACCAATGATCATTGTCCTCATCTTCCCTCCGCAGACATGGAGGTGAAGTCCCTGAATAAGCGAGCATCTGGCCAGGCGTTTGAGGTCATCATGAAGAGTCCGACTGACCCGTCTCCTCCAGAGAGACTCCAGACGCTGGCGCTGCCGGCCCAGAAGAAGGAGCCTTCGCTGGGGGAGCTGCAGAGGAGGCTGGAGGCCGCCGAGGAGAGACGCAGGGTAAGATCATGCCATCATTCATCCGTGGAAAACTGCACATAAACAAATGCTGCGTCCCAATTCACCTACGTATACTACGGGCTAAAAGTAGGCACTGTTTTTGAAATGAAAAAGTATATACTTTTGAGTGTGAAGCATCGTCAGGATAGCGTCTTTAACGAACGCTGTCACATCCTGTCAATCATCTTGTCACAGTTAAACTCCTCCACATTCAATAAACTTTTATTTCCTACCGTTTTAGGGATAAAAATGTGAGAGAAATTGAACGTTGATCTGCCAGTCATGGGTCTTTTTTCACAGATTTTTTTGATCCTGGCCTTATCATCCATGGAATCTCTTATGGTCTTTATAATGAATATGTTAAAGGAGTAGTTCACTTTTGAAAAAACTTTTGCTGATAATTTACTCGCCCCCATGTCATCCAAGATGTCCATGTCTTTCTTTCCTCATTCGAAAAGAAATGAAGTTTTTTGATGAAAACATTCCAGGATTTTCTCCATATAATGGACTTCAATGGGGACCAAACGGTTCAAGGTCCAAATAACAGTTTCAGTGCAGCTTCAAAGGGCTTTAAACGACACCAGACGATGAATAAGGGTTTTATCATGCGAAACGATCGGTTATTTCAAAGCTTATTCCAAAAATGTAACTTTTCTAAGGACAAATGCAAGCCTTGCTCTATTCTGTGAGGCGCGTTTGTGACGTCACGAAATACGTAATTACGTTCAAAAGGTCACGGGCGACGTAGCCGGAAGTACAGAATCAAAATCGTCCGACATCGTTGTTTTACCTTTTAATTCCTTTTTTTGTAAACGGCGTTTGAGTTAGTTTGCACGTTCAACCTATGCGTTCAACTTGTGAACACTGACTCTGTATTTCCGGCTACGTCGCCCGTGACCTTTTGAACGCAATTACGTATTACGTGACGTTACAAACGCGCCTCACAGAATAGAGCAAGGCTAGCATTTGTCCTTAGAAAAGTTACATTTTTGGAATAAGTTTTGAAATAACTGATCGTTTCGCATGATAAGACCCTTATTCATCGTCTGGTGTCGTTTAAAGACATTTGAAGCTGCATCTGAAACTGACTTTTGGACCGTTTGGTCCCCATTGAAGTCCATTATATGGAGAAAAATCCTGGAATGTTTTCATCAAAAACCTTAATTTCTTTTCGACTGAAGAAAGAAAGACATGGACATCTTGGATGACATGGGGGCGAGTAAATTATCAGCAAAAGTTTTTTCAAAAGTGAACTACGCCTTTATCAATCAGTACCTTTGTATCGCCATCTGATAACCAACACAGTCCTCTTTTGTACGTCTCCATCACCGCTGAGATGTTTTCATGACTTTGTCCCACATTTTGGCCTCTTTTTAAATGTCAGAGAAGCTTCTCCTCACTGTCTCACATAATTAGCCGTGTCATCTACTCATCTACACTTCTTTGTGTAGTCCCAAGAGAAGCAGGTCCTGAAGCAGTTGGCGGAGAAACGGGAGCGTGAGAAGGAGGTGCTCAACAAGGCCCAGGAGGTCAACAACAACTACAGCAAGATAACCGAGGAGAAACTCCAACACAAAATGGAGCTGATCAAAGAAAACCGCATGGCCCGTCTCAACGCCCTCAAGCAGCGTCTGAGAGAGAAGGTGAGACATCAAATAGTCCATATTCCTGTTATTCTATAGAAAATCCAAACTCAAATCTATTTTACATTTACACATTTGGCAGACACTTTTATCCAAAGTTACTTACATAGCATTCAAGGTATACATCTTGTTAGTTCATGCATTCCCTGAGAATCGAACCAATTCTTCTCTATGGTTTAAATACCAGAATGGTATTTGTTTGAAAAACAAACCTTTTTATGATTCAACCAGGGCTTAAATGTGGTGTATTTTCACAGTGGTGTGTAACACAGTCACTCCTACTAGCCACTAGCCACTGTGGCGGGTTCAATTTTACATTTTAAAAAGGCCTCTAGTGTTGTGAAAAATGCAGATTTTTTAAAACAAATATCTGAAGCTCTTTCGCAGGATACACAATACCAGCTGCGCATCCCTTTACGCACTCGATTCATATTGTTGGTGTCACAGGGCTTAAAGACAGGTGGGACGTTTGCCACTATATTTTTAAAACCATAATATCTTATGTAAGTAATATTGACAAACTATATATCATTTGAAAGCTTACAATCTCTAGTTTCCATATTTGGGGACTGATTTTCAAAATATATTACAGAGGAGCCATAATATATCAGTATGCAACAAGAATATTTTCATACTCATAAGGCGTGTTCAGACCTTTATTTAAAAATAGCAGTAAACATGAAAAATCATGAAAAAAAAAAAGGTTGATACCTCAGTTTGTTTGTTTCCAAAAGTTCAAAAGATAACATCCATTCAATTATGTTGGAAAAAAAAGGTCTGAAAAGTTTGAAATATCAAGAAAATAATAAATTCACCATTTGTGACGTGGCATATAGCTATGACTTACATGAAGGTTCTTTGTATGTGTTTCTTCGTGGTTGAATTCATATCAGAATCTGCCAAATTTCCCATGCTACTTCTGAATAGGATCTCTACTTCAGAAATTGTATGAAAATTGTGTAAATAATGGTTCATATCACTCAAAACATGAATGGAAATGCAGGCGCCCTTATATGGGCAGTAATGGAGTCTGGTTGTGCCCTAGTGGAAAAGTTTGGTACTGCGCTCAAACTAAATCTTACTGAAAGCTCATTTTTTGAGATATCAACCTAAAATTTGAAACACAACTTGTTCAGATTTTTAGCTTTGATCTTTCTGCCGTTTTAGAGTAGCCCAGGTTTTGAAAATATATATTTTATGTAAAATATGAATAATTAATATTTTACATTGTACATTTCCATAAACTCAAACTTCTTCACTTTCTTAATTTATTTCACTTCTACATGTCTTCTTTAAAACAAGACCAATCATATGTCTATATTCCAAAGCATTCTTGAATTACAACCATTTAAGTTCGAAATGTGCATTTTCATGTCATTCAAAAAAGGGGGGTGACGGTTAAAAGGTTAAATTTCAGCGAGGGATTGTGTGTTGAGCATAATTTACTCATTTCCACAGATTTTGTGCTCACACCCACAATGCAGCACATAGAGACAAGTATATTGGCTATAAAACAGTATAATGGGTTTGTGGGAAAAAAAGTGACGGCAACTTAATAGACCAAATTAGGGATGGGCAACGATTAATCGCAACAGAAATAAAAGTTTGTGTTTACATAATATATGTTTGTGTAGTGTGTATAATTAATTTGTATATATAAATACCCACACATGCATGTATATATTTAAGAAATATGTGCATGTATATATTTTATATATATATTTATTCACAATTAATATTATATGATATATTAATAACACATTTTTCTTAAATATATACATGCATGTGTGGGTATTTTTATATATATACAAATTAATTATACACACTACACAAACATATATTATGTAAACACAAACTTTTATTTTGGATGCGATTAATCGCGATTAATCGTTGCCCATCCCTAGACCAAATTATGAGATAATATTAATAATATATGGCAGTTTTTCTCTATGGCATCGATGTCTAAATTGTGGCCAGTGAAAATCCTGAGTGGGAAAACCACTAGCCAGTTAAGGTCAAGTCCTGGATCCAACAGAAAAATAAAGTCTAGAAAAAATGGGCTTGTAATACAATTTTATCTTAAATTTAGGAAATAATGAACTACAGGCTTGAATTTTACCACACACTTCCTATCTATTGCATGTTGTTTTTCTGGAGTAACAGGCTTACAAATGTACTTTACTGGGAATAAAAAACAGAATTAAGTTTCCTTTCTGGTTACTGCACAACCAGTTCTTATTTACAGAACATTGATCATGCTCTCTCTCTCTCTCTCTCTCTCTCTCTCTCTTTCTCTCTCTCTCTCCAGGAGATTCATGCTGCAGAAGTTCGTAAGAATAAGGAACTTCACACTGAACTCTCTGGCTAAGGACACTCTTTGAGCCACGAGACATCCAGTCATGACGGCACTTGGAGGAAATGTCGTTATTTGGCCACACTGTCTTAAGAGGTCAAATCAGACTCACATTATCAGTTTTCCTTATCAATACATGTCTGAGCATATAACAGCATCCCACATACACCACGTGGACACAAGTATGTGAGCACCCAAACTTCATACGTGCTTGTTGAATGTTTCATTTATGAACCCTGGGCATTAATTGAGTTCATCCCAAAGATAATCAGTCAAGTTGTTCCACATATTGTGTATTTTTCTAACACGTGTATATCTCTATCCCTAAACCCAAACTTTACTAAAAAATGATGGAAATTATAAGCTGATGAGAATGTTGTTGAGACAAACCCTAAACAAATCATTTGACCTATTCCTAAAATCTGATTGGAGTCTGAAATTATTAGACTAGCCAAATACTTTTTTTTTTTTTTTAAATAATTTTATTAAGGAATCAATATAAAAAATGAGTACAAGTAAACAAACATAACAGTAAGAGAAAAAAAAAACAAACAAACAAATGAACATACAAGCAAACAAAATAATAATACAAGAGGAGAAAAGTGAGCCAACGTATACAAATATACAAACAAAATCGACAGATGGCAATACGGATGCATCTATATCTCTCGTATAGACGTGCATACATATTCATACACATACCTGCATGTCAAATACATTAATTAGAAAGTGGTGCCTACATACTTGTGGCCATGAATTTCAGAAAAAAACTACTTAGACCAGTTTAAATTACAAGATTAACTTGATTTCGATTGCCTCTGGTGGTGTGTACAAGCTTATTGTAGACCAGTAGATGAGCTTAAACCAGCATGAGAGTGTCGTGACACCAGCAAATGGTATGATCTGGTCATTTGTAATTTAGCAGGGCTGAATCTCACAAAACCAAAAAACATGACTCTGTATCCACATTTACTCAGCACTTTAATAGGATATGATTCATTCACGTTGTTGGTAGTTTAGGTGCATTTCAAGGGTCACTGATTTATGTGACCTGAACGAGAAATGTCTAAGCTATATGCTGCTAACTGATTACCATCTCAAATAAGATTAAAGCCTAACATGTTCGTAATCAGAAGTCTTTGTCATTTTTTTTTTGCAACACAAGAAAACTAAAAACACACCCAACAGATTATTTATGATGGCAACTCATCATCATGTTTGATGTTTATCACTTTCGGGGTAAAAGTGTAATGACCTACATTTTACATTGACATAATGCAAGCATGCATAAGCTGCTATTATCTCTCACTAATGGCTAGCAATTTAGTGTCTCCTGGGTATCTGTGAAATTTCTCTTGCTGGTTTTTTTTAATTGTCTATGACAAGTTTATGATCGGGTTTTTTACATGGAAATTTCTGACGCAGTAGTTTCTAAATCATAAGGACTTATATTGCTGCTGATAAGACTCCAATAATCAAAGCTCAGTAAAAGAACGGTGTGTTTGCATACGTGTCGTCATGTGTGTGTGTGACGAACACTGGTCAAAGTGTGATGCAAATTACTGAAACTGAAGCTGATCCTACTACCTTTTTGTGCTAATATTAGTGCACACTGCAGCAAGCCTAGACAATATATTACTGTGTGTGTGTGTGCCTACTTAACAGTATTTTCGGGACCAAAATCTCCAAAAAGCTCCATTTAGGGACGTCCTCATTTGTAAATCTGGAATAAAAATAAAGTAATTAAAGGGTTTTTTTAAATGTAAAAATGCAGGAAGTTTAGTGTGTGTGTGATGGGTAAGTTTAGGGTTAGTGTGTGTGTGATGGGTTTAGGATTAAGGTTGAAATATGAGATAATATACAGTTTGTACAGTACAAAAACCATTACTTCTATGTCCCCATTTTGATAGCTAAGTAAATGTGTGTGTGTGTGTGTGTGTGTGTCCTGGTTTCTTGTGAGGCAGGTTGAGGCACATTTAAAAGTAAACACAATCATGACATTCCTGTGGCCTTAATCAGAAGCAGAGTCATACGGGTTAAACGGACACGTAGCACATGGACCTGTTTTGTTTGTGGCAACATTTCCATAATCTTACATAATAAGGCATTTAAAAGGGAGTGGTCAGGTCAGGTGGTAGATACATAAATATTTACACTCCAAATGCATATGATGTCAGTCATCAAGGGACAATTACAGCAGTTTCAATCAGCTGTTTTGTTAACATGTACTGTTCTAGTCTGTACCTGTTTGACATTTGATGGTTCATGGTCAAAGTTCATGGTGTTTTAGTTTCAGTTCCAAACTAAATTCATCAGCTAAGACAAGTTTCCTCCATGTGAGAATTTTTTCTAAATTTGACATTTGAAACCTTGAAACTTATTTTAATTCGATCTGCACTACACTCTTAGAAGAAATGGTTCTATTTAGAACCAGAAATGGTTCCATCCCCCGCTTCATATATGGAACTCTATATAGAACCCTTTTTTTTGGTAAAAGGTTCTATTGGGAAAGTATGGAACCCCAGGGTTCTATATAGAACCCAGAGGAACCCTTTTTTAAGAGTGTATAGAACCTTTTAGGGGTTCCAAATACGTAGCGCCGATAGAACCTTTTCAGGTTCTATATAGAACCTTTTCTTCTAAGAGTGTGATCTAAAAATGTCACATTTATTTAGCTTTGCATTTAAAGTGTTCTCCACATAACTGAGAGTGTGTAAATAATCATTAGGTCCTTGTTAAAAGAAACATTTTAAATACGGAAAAGAAAGTTCAGTATTAATATTAATAGAGAAGGTCTGAAATATTTTGTTAGGTAATGTGGAAAACATGTCTAATTTGTGCTTACTTCATGGTTTAAAAATGCACATTAAACACAAACATTATTTTTTTTAACGGCTAATAAACATATTTATAATTTTATACCCATTACAACTGACATTGCGAGTTGTTTGTTTGCGGTTCTGTTAAATACCCAAAGCTGCTGCTTCCTGTTGTTTTCTTTAGTAGTGAAACTGAAACCTAGAGCTGCATTTGCACTGTTCGGTACAAACACACTGTCCAGGAAAAGAAAACTTACTCTGTAATTCTAGAAAGGAGTGGCTTAGCCAGCGTCACTAAGCAACGTCTATATAAATAGCTGAAACGCCTCTAGGAAGATACCCATGACTGTTACAGGAGCATATCAGAACATCTTCAAGCTGTATATATGAAGGTAAGATGATTCTCTCCATTACTAATTCTTTTGTGAACCGTTTATTGTAGTGGAAAATGATTCATGAAGCTGAACAGTGACTTAGTCTCTCACTCTGCTAAACATCCCTGTGTTACACGTATTAAAGTAAGCTGAACTGTAACTGTTCCTTTAAGAGAAGGTGACTGGAAAGCATCTGCTAAATGATTATAATATAAGGTGATGATATAATGTGATTATGTTTTAATCAGCAGCTTATAACCTTAAATACAAATAAGAAATTGGTCTATGGAGAACGTATTGTCATGACTGATCATACACTTGTGTTGGCTGGCTAACAGTTTTTAACGACCACACTGTTTTTATAGATGTAAATTGGCTTTATGCACAGCTGCACTACTTCCTGAACTTCAGCCAGCTCCTTGTTTCCTGTCTGCCATTATTGGCCAAACTGATTAACCTCAGTAGTCATGGCAACAATAATCAGACACACCTGAATTAATCAGGTTTGGCCAATGATGGCAGACAGGAAACAAGGAGCTGGCTGAAGTTCAGGAAGTAGTGCAGCCGTGCATAAAGCCAATTAGTTTGTGTAAAGATGTGATCCGTACAACTGATGTTGTTAACATAGTAAAAGTTTAGCAAAATGACAATATTTCAGCTTTTAAAATGAAAAAGAAGTTTGTTTCTGCCACAGAATAAAAAAATACAAAAGGTAATTGTGACTTTTATCTCCCAATTCTGACTTTTTTTCTTTCTTTTGTTTACAATTGCGTCATAAAGTCACAATTGTGAGATATAAACTTGCAATTCTGAGTAAAAATATATTTTTTTTCCCTTAGAATTGGACTTGGATTGCAAGTTTATATCTCACAACTCAAAATTGTGAGGTGGGAATTTCTCCCATCTAGTGGTGAAATTATATTTTGCATTCAAACGAATTGTGCTCTTCAAAATGCGTGTTTTATCGACTACGGTAGCTGTTGTATACCAAAAAGCTATGACAGGCTGTCACCTAATAGCACATCATCAAGTGTTCCATCCTTTTAGATTATAAAATACCTAAAAAAGTACACATTGTCCCTTTAAAATGCTTTATTGTGTGGCGAAAACACGCTTTCCTTAGTAAATGTATCTTATTCTAACTACAAATGATTTCTTTTCACAGGAATTTCATGCCTTCTGAGTCATGGCTCTTGTAGGAAATCATCATAACCTTCAAACATTAGAAGAGGAGTTGAATCTGTGTGTGCGATGTAAGAAGTGCTGTAGAAAACACACTGTGATTCGATACTCCCTCAACCAGATCATCCATTCCTGCTCAGAAAACATCTTACTGGTCCAGTGGAAACGTCCCAATTCAGTGTGGAGGCCAGTTGCTCCCCTGCCAGGCTTTCCCATCCCTTACAAGTATGTGGCTTGCTGGTTCTACACTGAAGAACATGGATGCAAAAAACATGGAAATAGATGTTCCTTTGCTAGAAGCGCAGAGGAAGCTTCAGTGTGGAACGTCATGAAGGATTTACGACTGACAATTCCCCAGCTTATAAATGTGATAAAACGAAACCAAAGGACACTGCAGTCAAAGCCTCAAGAGAAGGGAAGCTGCACATTATGTCAGGGACACTTCCCAACGGATGAGGATTTCATGAACCACTGTTTCACGGTGAAGCACCGGAGACTGATCTTTGAAGACACTTCTCCGCAATGGAAGTACCGTGATCCGCCACCACAATACAAGGACCTGAAGTTGTGTGAAAGGTATTTATATGAAGCATGACATGCCAATAGATGTTTGCTTGTTTCGAAGTCAAATCAGTAGGGTTGGGTATCGAGAATCGAGTATCGATTGGAACCGAGACTAACTTTTAATTTTTCCCGGAATCGTTCAAAAGTTAAAATTTCGATTCCTAGTTTCGATATTCACAGTCCGCCGAGCGTAAGAAGAAACCGCTGAACAACACCAATGAAGAAGCGTCTACCGGAAGTGTTGGCATAACCACGCGAGTTGAACATGAGTACCTTACGTTGTGTGGCTTCACTTTTCTAAAAAAAAAACGAAATCTTGGCAAAATGCAAAATTTGTGACAAAAGGAGTATTTTTACAGAAGGAGTATTTCCTTCAGAAAGGCCGTTGGTTAGCAAGCTAAACTTTTTTGACCCTGCCTCTTAAAAGAATCGGAATCGAGAATCGTTAGGAACCGGAATCGAAACAAGGAATCGCAATCGGAATCAGAATCGTTCAAATTCAAACGATACCCAACCCTACAAATCAGTTAAAGGGATAGTTCACTTTGAAATTAATTTTTGGTATGTTTTATCTTACCTCAAGGGCATCCAAGATGAAGATGTCTTTGTTTCCACAGTAGTTTCAATTTTGACATTTTTCAGTCAAACCGTTGTTGTCTATCAGTCATACACTGGAGGCTAAGGGGGTCCACCAAAGAGCAGCACAGAGAAGTCCAAATTAAACATGAATGTAAGTACACACTGATGGCCTAAGACACGAAACGAGCGGTTTGAGTGAGAAAACCAACAGTATTTATATCGTTTTTACCTCGTGTAATCACAGTGATCTGAATCAGTTGTTCAATGTCCAACTGAACCGAACTGAATCAGTTCAATGTTACGCCGGAAGTGATCGCTTGCGTGTGACGTTACTCAATATTTACACGGAGATTTCGGAAGTTTTACCTTTTACTAAACATATTTAGATATACCGAAATCGTCTTCCATTGCGGTTTCCCGTATATCTAAATATGTTTAGATCACTATGATTACAAGAGGTAAAACGATATAAATACTGTACGTTTTCTAACACAAACCGCTCGTTTCGTGTCTTAGGCCATCAATGTGTACTTACATTTACGAGTCATTAAATCATGTTTAATTTGGACTTCTCTGTGCTGCTCTTTGGTGGACCCCCTTAGCCTCCAGTGTATGACTGATAGACAACAACGGTTTGACTGAAAAATGTCAAAATTGAAAATACTGTGGAAACAAAGACACCTTCATCTTGGATGCCCTTGAGGTAAGATAAAACATACCAAAAATTAATTTCTAAGTGAACTATCCCTTTAAGTCAAGTCACCTTTATTTTTATAGCGCTTTAGAAATTGCACTTTTACAGTGATCAACAGGGAAATAATGATTCAATGGTGCAAACATAGCTCAATTCGACTGTAAAGCAGCTCTATAAATAAAAAGGTGTCTTTAGCCCTATTCGGACGGTAATCGTTTCTCATGGGTCGTAAGGTATTTTCAACATCTACAGGGGTTAGTCTGCGATTTTATTTGCTGTCAGAACCAGAATGTCAGTGTTTTTCTCCCACCAGCCATATAAAAATCCCCGGCCAAATTACCCACTTATTTTTTGACAAAAACCAAGGTTGTGTGGTAATTTATTTGCCATCTGAATCCACATCTCTGAGTTTACAAGAAGAGATCACTTCAAAATTCACTGTTTAAACACTGCCAAACACAAGCACAAGCACGCTTCACTGTAATTCACTGTAGAGCCAGACCGATAAAGGATTTTGAAGGCCGAAACAAATATTTGTTGGTTTTGAAATCCGATATATTGGCCGATATTTTTTATTATTTTTTCAGAAACGCACAACAAAACATTAACAGATTTCCCTAACATCAGTTATTTGTAGTTATTTATGAGTTTTAACTTAAATAATATGATAATACATTTTAATAAGAAACTTGTTTGGTTTATTGTCACAACTGATGATAGTGGCATTAGCTAGCTTTGTGGTTAGCTATTCTATGAGCCATAATTTAGCAATGGATAACGTCATACTGCAAATTGGAAAACATACATTTTCAATATAACAGGCCAAGAAGAGATTTAATTGTTATTCAAGCAATGTATGTGTCGTGACCAACTTAATGAGTGTTGCCAACAGGGACGGTGTAGAGTGCCCTCTGGTGGACAAACTATACAACTCCAACACTCATGACATGGTTCAAGTGTGTTTCGTCCGTTTTTATTTTATTTTTGAAATATTCATTTACCGGCTGTTATAACTCCCGATACCGATAGTTTGGAAAATGCCTAATATCGGCCGATAATATCGGTCTGGCTCTAATTCACTGCATGCATTATTTTAAAGTCAAGATGTACACTTTTATTACTGAAATGCTGAAAATTATTTACAATTAACTTTTTTCTGCTCATTTTCATACTTTTAAAAAGACGTCCTTTTGAGATATAATTGTCGCGAATTTGTAGGATGGGAAAAATTTTGCCTCGATAAATTACCATCCAAACCGAGTTTTATCACTGAGGTGCAATGAAAAAGTATTTTACCAGACGTCCACATGAGAAACGATTACCGTCCGGTAATATAGGGAAATAGGGCTATTTTAGTCAGATCAGTGTTGATTCAGCTCCATTGTAACCTATATAAAGAAGCCAATACGATGTCCTCTCATAGACCCCTAATATGCGAGTATGGAAAGAATTGCACAAAGGCACACAGTCGAGAGGAACTTCATGAATGGCAAAAAAGAATCAAGGCTACACGGAAAAAAGCCAGGGATGCCGCCGAGCTGGGATTGCTGTCCTATCAGGACATTCTTTTGGAGGAATACAGGCACAGCGACAACAAGAAAATGATTGTAAGTGGGCGATACAGTAATGAACAATGCTGACAATTTTATGTCATCGGCCGTTGCTAAATATCTACTGTATATTTAAAACCAAAGCTTGATTATTACTGTACACATGCTTTTTACAACATCATAAACATTGATTGAATCAATATTCCTGCAGATCAACGACACCCTTCCTGATGTTTCCATCACCTGTGACCCAGATTTAGACAGTGTCTACGTAAGGAAAAAGGGAATACAGTGCACATGGAATTTTACCATTATTTCTAAGGTTTGTGCATTAACTAATGATACTGCTATATGTTCTCTTGGTTTTTAGGAATTATAGAGCAGCTTATTTATTGCACAATGCACATTTCTTAATATTAAGTCAAGTCATCATCATTTATATAGCACTTTTAACAATGTGGATTGTTTCAAAGCAGCTTTACAGAGAGAAAATCAAGCCTAAAATGTGTTTTAATATCACTCTTAGTAGTTTGAGTCTGAGTCTATCTTTAAATGCTAGATATTTAAAGTGTACCTTTTTTTTAAATATTTTATTTGACAGGGACAAATGCATAAAACATTGCTTTATAATAAATACAAAGTAGATGCCACGCATACAGGTTTCTAGCTATGACTAATTTGTAACCCCTGTCCCTGATTAGGCTTTTAAAATTTAAAACAGAAATTACTGAGTATTGAATGTAAGATATAACCATTAAAAAACAAACAACAAATACATTCCATACATGAAATAAGATATGGGCTAAAGATATACTTAAAGGTGCCATCTGTAAAAATTGAGGTTAAAATATCCCAAAAATGAGCAACACGCATCAAAAGATTGAGAAGAAATAAGGTTGATGATGTCATTAAAAAACTGACAAGTTATAGTGCTGCCGAGATATTAACCTGAATTAGCATGCTAAATTACTAGCCCCGGCCCGTTAGGTGTCGTAATACCAGTTTCGACCATGGGAGGCGGTATGCGGGCGGGCAACGTTACCACCAGCCAAACTGCAGTACACGAGTAAGTCGCGCTCGCGCCAGCTTGTGTGTACTTGAACCTGACGTCAGTCGTGTGGAAAATACAGCCCCCTACTACATTTCAGTTCAGGGAAGAGTTAAAAAAAAAAAATGATTGGTCGATATTATGCATGAGGAATACATTTTGGTAAGTTGTAGCATACTGTATCTTTCAACAGTGTTCGTGTTCTTTTACCATTAGCTAGTAGAGATGATCGGTTCACGTGCGCTAGGGATCTGTCGTGTAAAGTGCCAATACTGTATTTATTGTTTGAATTGCGTAATAAAATGAACAGAATCTGAGAGCTGACATCGGTCTCCGTGTCCTTTTCTGTGCATGACAAAATTGATGTGTGGCGTGAAAGTGTGTGAAAAGTGTTGTGAGAGTTGGCAGCTCTGAAAGACGCTAGCTTGGTCCACATCAGGTAATGCTGTCTGTCAAATTAATTCAAACTAATGATAAAAATGTAATATGAACAAATCGAATATCATAAAACTAGAAATAATAGCCTGGGCTTTAATTTTCCCATATCGTCGAAATGCACCGACTTGTCTATGAGACGGCCCTTATAATTTAGTATTGAGATGTTGTTCATTAAGTCTCTAATCTCTGAAAATCTCCAAATGCTCCACGTGAAACTGCGGTCTTCCAACCTTTTACTATCGCGTCAATTGATTTGATTAATATGCACGAGGGAGACAGAGCAACACAGCACTCGCCCATATTGTTTGAAGACATGAGAGAGCGCGTGGCCGTGGAGGTATTTCTGGAGGTATACTGCCCCCATCTGGTATGGAACATGTTGTATGATTTGATTTAAAATCACATTTGGCACCTTTAAAGTAATAGTTATCAAATAAACCTAAGTATATGTTTAGTTGGATCTTAGCACTATTTCCGAATAACTAAATATGCGTCGAGTACCAAATTAGGCTAGTTCCAATTTAGCAGACTTTAAGTATGCCAATAGTAAAATTGCATTTATATTAAGTAAATACTGTATGTAGATGTATTTGTAGTATACACATAAAATAAATGTTTTTCAAATACATTTTACAATATTTATTTTTCACTAGGGTTATTTTGATGATTAAAGAAAACATGTTTTCATGACTTATTGACTTTTCGTTTTTTTACCGTTTTTCTAAACATTTTCAGACAGCTGTAGTTGTGTTGGTAGTGTTGGATAGCCACATCTGCAAATACATTGATCTGTACTCTAATTTTTGACTTAAATCCCTCCAGGAACCTCTAGACGTGATCGCTTTACTCAGATGGGAACAGGGGGCGAAATTCAGCCTCAGCAAAGACCCCCGTGACGAACGGTCATATTCCACTAGTGTTTGGTTTAAAAAAGATGAAGGTAAAGATTGAATGTTTCTTACAAAACCCAGATTCAATATTGACCTGCCCCATGTTGACAAAATACATTCAAATAATGATTGTAAATTATTTCTGCAGTGTATGAAATTCCAGTGTCCTTCGAATCTGACCAACCAGGCCTGTATGAGCAGTGGGTATTGTTTGACTTCAATACAAGACCAGTACTGCGTCAAAAACTCAAGGTCAGAGTTGGAGAGGATGAGTGTAAGGAAAGATGTCCATCACCTGAGGTTATGCAAGAAAAACCAGAGACTGGCAGGGATCTCGAGCCCTGGAATGAGGAAAGCATGGAAGTCATTCCTTTTTTTGAAAGAGACGAGGCACAGAGAGAGCTCCTAAACAGATACCCACTCGCCAATCAACTCCAGTCAATCAGTTTGATTAACCGTGAGAATTACAAACAGAGCATGCACAATTTTTTATACCAGGAGGAAAAGGAAGAGGGCGAACTGCTTGCTAGGTACAGTATATGTTTAGTAGGGCTGGGTGATAAATATCGATTTCTAGATATTAATCGAATCTCATTTTTACGAACCGATATCGATTCTTAAATCTCAAGAATCGATTAGTCATCCTGTTTCATTTGAATGGATCATTGTATCGCGGCTGCTCGCATCCAACAAATCGCAATAATCTTTCTCCTTTGTTACTATTGATATGAAACAAAGTCTCAATTTTCAAATTACGTCCATTTTCTTTAGAAATTCAAAAACATAAATAGCGTTTTGAGCTCAAGAGAAGCAGCAGCGCTGATCTCTCTTCCGGCTTAATAATACCAGTCACAGCGCCAAATAAACATGAACGAGCATCTGAAAGTGTGTTAAAGATAGAGTACAACTTATCCAAATCCGTATCATGTCACATTGATTCCCTCAATCAGCGTTTCAACCGTGGAAAGACGTCAGTTAAACAGCTTGTAATCAATGTCATCGTCATATTTACCTCAGAAAACCCACATAAACTCGTTAGTCAGCTAGAAAAAATAACTCTAGAGAGGAGCATTTTGCTAAATATATACACCATATTACATATGCATTATAATCTTAATGTTCTTCAATATTTAATGCATATTTGATTAAATCTGGCAAGTTTTTATGACAGTCACCATTTAAATGTTTATATTTCATATAATCTTCTTATTTTAAAAATAAATAAAAATGTAATTTAAGTGTTTGTATAGCCACAAAACAGTTCATTATTACCTTCATATTAGGCTAATGAAGTCTATAGGCTACAACTAGACTCCCATAGTTTACAGCATTAGTTAAGAGATTTGATTTCCTTGAGAAAATTTGCCATTTATTGTTACTGATATCCAAAATAATCAATATTGAATCGAAATCGAATCGAATTGCAAGCTTGTGAATCGAAATCAAATCGAATTGTGAAATTTGTCTCAAAACCCAGCCCTAATGTTTAGGTCTAAACACAATATTTGACTATTGCAATTAATAACAACTCTAATAAACTCTCTTTCTCCCAACATATTTCCAGGCTGAATCTACGAGGGACTGTGCATTTGAAGAATAAACTGGAAGATGACAGGTTTGGATGGAAAATGCTTAATACGGGGGAACTTTTTGCTGCCGTGCCTGTGTCTCGCCCACTCACTCTTGATGCCCCTGAAGGTTTCATAGTGAAAAGACATGCGATCAGATCTCTTGTTCGTGTCGTGAAAAACAATAATTATCTTGGGCCCATTTATGAGGCTATGTTTCTGAAAGACGCTCCCACTGACACACAAGTGCATCTACAGCTTTCCAAACACTGCTGCACTGATCTAAATCTGCAGAATGAAGAGCAATGTGAGATGGAAGTCCACTTCCAAATAAATCGTCTATGGTTCTGCGAGATGCACAAGGCCATCGATGATCTCCCCGACTTGGACAATGTTTTGCCGGATCTGAAAAACATCAACTTATGTATTTCTAGCCAGTCAGATCCCGAAGAGTTAAATGAGAAGCAGCAAGCTGCAATGAACTTTTTCCTGGGTGTAACGGACAACGGAGGCAGTGTCCCACCTTTGTTGATTTATGGACCTTTTGGAACAGGGAAAACTCGAACCCTTGCAAAGATGGCCCAGGTTCTTGCACAGCAACCACAGAACAAAATCCTGATTTGCACACACACAAACAGGTAAGACATCGCAATTCTGTGGCACAGAATAACTTTAAATTCCATGCTGATTTATGCTGGTTAGTGCTTGTTGGGTTCTGGCCTAGCTGGTGGACCAGGGAGTTAAAGCACAATTCTGGTATTTAACACCTTGAGTCTATTTTGTAGTTTGTTTTGAATGAAATAGAGTGGTGGACTTAGAAATTTTGACAATGGGTCCTGTCTCGACTTTTTGACTATTTTAGAATCGCCTGTGACAGCGTTAGACTGGCTGTCTATGGGCATGCACAAACATGCCCTTAAAACAACCCTTAACGTTCATTTTCAAAACTGTGCACTCGGTGGTTGGTGGTGTTCGTTGGTGTTCTGAAACAAGTAGCGTAGCGAAATACCGTTTCTGTTGTGTTTTATTTGTCATTTTTTAAAATCGCATTGATGTCTGCTGGAGGACTCAGAGCTCGTTGACATTACTGCGCTAGGCTAGCTACCGGGAACGGAAAGGGGTCTGTTTACATTTGGTTGTAGTCTTTTCGCTCGGTTCTCCGTCTCTCAGAAGGCTAGCGTGAGCAGAGCAACTGTGCTCCCGGACTTTTTTTTACGGTGCGCTAGACACCGTGTTCCGTACAGCGTCCTGGTTGTCGCCATCAAGTGGTCGGGAGTGTGCTAACGCTTCAGACTCAAATATCGAGCAGAAGTTTATACGCGGTTGTGAGGTATCTGAAAAAATAGTTCTACAATAGCAAACAACACGGATTGAAAGCATAGATAGCGCCGATTTATTTGTTTTTAATCATCAACAAAAACCACCAACCACTCGGTGAGTTGCACAGTTTTAAAAAATGAACGTTAAGGGTTATTTTAAGGACATGTTTGTGCATGCCCATAGACACCCAGTCTAACGCTGTCACAGGCGATTCTAAAAAAGTCAAAAAGTCGAGACAGGACCCATTGTCAAAATTTCTAAGTCCACCACTCTATTTCATTCAAAACAAACTACAAAATAGACTCAAAGTGTTAAATACCGGAATTATCCTTTAAAAAACCTTGTGGAGACACTGGGCTTCAAAAACGCCACGTATGCTGGTCTTTTCAACAGGTCATTTAAGCCTACATTTGGTTAAAATACATTTGCATTCCTGTAGCTCAAACAGTAGAGCATTCATAAGCTGATGAAATAAATACCTCGAAGGCAATCTTTCATTGTATAAAAATGTCTGCCAAATGCATTGTTCTAAATGTTCAATTGTACAAGTCCAATTAATTATCATTTTTTCCCCAATGCAGTTCAGCTGATCTTTACATAAAAGGTCATTTCCATGAATACGTGACAACTGTTCACCATGAAGCCAAACCTTTGAGAATCAAGGCAATGGAAAGCAACCTCAGATCCACCGATCCTACCATTCTACCGTACTGCCATTTATCCAAAACCGGCATTCGATTTGAGTTTCCTGATAAAGATGTTCTGGATTCCACAAGAATCATCATAACGACAACTGCGCTGGCTCGTTTGTTCCAGGACATGAAGCTACCTGAAAACTACTTCAGCCACATTCTGATTGATGAAGCTTCTCAGATGTTGGAGTGTGAGGCTCTTATGGCATTGGGCTTGGCTGGTAAAAATACACGTGTTGTTTTAGCTGGAGATCACATGCAGATGGGACCCAAGCTCTTCTCAGTGAGACAAGACAAATGCTCAGAACATACCTTGCTCAATCGCCTCTTCTTTTACTACCAAGCTGAAAACAACAGTGCTGCCAAACAAAGCCGAATCATTTTCAATGAAAACTACCGTTCCACAAAAGACATTGTGGATTTTGTGTCGACACATTTTTATGTGGGAAAGACCGATGTGATCAAGGCTAAAGGAGACGTGCCTCCTCATCCACACCAGCATGCCTTGCAGTTCCACCATGTAAGAGGAGAATGCAGTTTGGATTCATCAAGCATGTCCTGGTTCAATCCAGAACAAATTCGTAGAGTTGTTGACATCGTGCAAGGAATATTGAAGGAGTGGCCGCAAGAGTGGGGTGATAAAGATCCTGAATCAGTCTGTGTTCTTTCTCAAGGCGCACAGGTATCAAACACATTGCTATTCGACGATTTATATAATGTTTTTTATTAATGTCATGCTGCTAATTCATAAACGTTGCATCAGTGTATTTATACCAGATGCTTGTGTTTCAGGTGTTGGCAATACGGCAAAGGCTGCGTCAGCTTAACCTGCCCCGTTTCACTGTGGAGAATGCCGAAAATGTGCAAGGTAGGGATAAGGCATTACTCGAATGTGCAAACATACTAGTAGTCATGGATATGATTCACAGTGAGAGCATACTGCCTTTTCCCATATTTTGCAGGAAAACAATTCAGAGTCATTGTGATTTCCACTGTGCACACCAAGGACAGCCTATTGGAGACGGACCGGACCTGTCTTGAGTTTTTTAATGACATGCGAGTGTTGAATACTGTTATGACAAGAGCTCAATCCCAAATAATTGTTATTGGAGATGCAGCTGCAATTTCTTGCCATCAGTTCGGGATGTGCTGGAGACTTTGGGGATCTTATATAGAGTACTGCATCAGCCAGGGAAGTGCCCATGACTTAAGCTTGGATTCTTTGAAACAAGATCTCCTTGAGATATCTGAGCTCTGCAGAAGTGAGGATGAAGAGAGTAGTGATAGTGAATCAACTACATCTGAAATACTAGACACGGAAGACCCAATACTTCAAGAGCTTCTTGATGAGAGCAAAGACATCAATGTTGCATTGACAGAGGAAGGCTTATTTCCCATTTTTACCAATGGGCATCTTGTCAGTGATGTGAACAAGCAGATTACAGAAGCAGATGAAGAGCAATTCTTGACAAACTCTACAATCCACAAATGCTGTGAGATAGTCATCGAGAGCTTTTACCAAGGTTATGCAAGACCACTCGACGAGCCTACTCTGAGAATCGATATCAAGGGTAGAAAGAATATCGGACAGGCATTCCCTGGAGACAAAGTAACAGTGGAGATCCTGAGTGAGAAATCAGATCATCACCCAATGGGAAAAGTAATCGACATCCTTGAAAGTGCAGATCCTGTCAAAGAATTTGTCTGCACCATTGAAAGATATGACAATCAAGTGATGACACCTATCAACAAATGCATCTCCAAAATCTACACACCATTTTCAAAGGACAAACCAGATCACATTGCTGTAAGAGATCCTGATAGCCGCCAAATAAAGAGTTTCATCAAAATAAATGAGGAAGGGCGTAGAAAATACCTCTTTGTTGTCAGGGTCCTTACGTGGAGAAAGAATCACAGTTTTCCCTTGGGGATAGTTGTGAGTGTGTTTCCAAAAATAACAACTATAGATGATGGATTGAAAGTTCTCGAGATCGAGTTCCAGTTGAGGAGGACAATTTCTTCATTTTTGAGAAAAGAGATGCAAGAATTCCAAGGTCTCGGTTTATTTGAAGATGGACGAAAAGATTTTCGAATGCTCCCAACTTTCACCGTTGATCCTGCTGATTCACAAGACCTTGATGATGCAATCAGTGTACGGGATTTAGGCGAGTACTATGAAATCGGAGTTCACATTTCTGATGTTGCAAGCTTTGTGGCTGAAGACAGTGAACTGGACAAATATGCAAGACAGCTGTGCACTACTTTCTATCCACACGAGAAGGAGCCAATACACATGTTCCCTAAAGAATTGAGCGCCAATTTCTTCAGTTTAATCCCAAACCAAGACAGACGAGCCATCTCCTTGATAATATACGTAGATGCAAAAACAAACTACGTGAAGAAAAGATATCTCTTCAAGTCAATCATTCACTCCAAGAGGAAGTTTTCCTATGATGAAGTTGAGGACATCCTTGAAAAAAATTGTCAGCATTCTGACCCACTTGAAATCTGCCTTGTGAAAGCATGGACCTTTGCTAATGTTCACAGGAGATTCAGGAAACAGGAAAGCTGGTGTTACAAACAGCCAGATGAAGACGTAACCCTTGGAAGAAGACAATCTCACCAAATGGTGGAAGAGCTGATGGTCATGTTTAACCACACAGTTGCTGAACGCCTTCTGTTTGATGAAACAACAAGGAGCATAACTCCACTGAGATGTCAGGACAGGCCAATAAGTGAAAAGCTTATTGACCTTTTTGACAAAAATGCTGTCTTGATTCCACTTTCTGTTCACTTCTCAAGTCGAGCTCATGAGATTGAACATGTGCCTCGTGAACTGAACAACCAAGGTTTGATTCGCTCCACAGCCATGGCAAACTCACAGGACTTTTCTGATTCTGAAACCTTCCCAATATTAAAATCACTTTTAAGATGCCTGAAGACAGCAGCAGAGCAGAAAAATATCTACAAAGTAATTGACTTTGTTGCAACTGATGACATTCACCCCCAACTTCTCCCTTTTGCTATTGCATTTAGGAGACTGTTTCACAAAGCATGTGTTCTGCGCTCAAACTCAACACATGTCTCAAGAATTGGGCACCATGATTTAGATCTTGACAGCTACACATGGGCCTCATCTCCCGTCCGCAGATACATGGATGTTATTGTGCAGCGCCTTCTTCATTCTGTGATCGACAAGACAAAAAATAGGTACACAGCTCATGACATTGACCTGTTTTGTATGGAATTTTCCAGGAAAAATGATCAACAGTCAGCCTATGAGAAGAAAGCCAATGCTCTACATTTTGCATTAAAACTGTCGACTCGAAGTGAAAGGAAGGTGGCGTACATTGTGGACCTCAATCCGTCAGGGACAAACTTCAGAGTATCCTTCCCACTTAATAGAGACTCTATATCAGAAAACCTATACATTATGTACAGGGAACTTCAGCTGGCAGATCAGCCTGTGTTTGATGAAACAAACAAATGCATGATCTTGAAATGGGAGCGAAGAATATATTCATTCTCCAATCCTCACATCCAAGCTGAAGTCAAACAACAAAATCCTAACTCAGTCATGGCCTATGTCCCAAGGAACACCTGGAAAGGCCTAGCAGCCGCTGTTAGAGAGGAAAACTGGGACATAATGTTTACCCTGATTGAGGAGCTTGAAAATAGCTCAACAATCCATGCAAGACAATTCCAGGAAAGACTGAGAAACTACAAAGGTTCAGAAAAATCTGATCCCATTCACGCCGAGCATTATGCTGAGCTGTCGCTGAGAATAAAGCAAGGTGAAGCAGTCGAGGTGCAGCTAGGTACCGCCACAGCTCGAGGATTATGGGCACCAGCAATTCAGCTGTTTGTTGTGCATCCAAAATTTGAGATTTGTTTGGATCATGTAAAAGATCCGATCAAGTGTTTTTCAAAATATGCGTTACACTCATCAAGGAGTTCATACCAGACATACATGGATTATCAGGAAATATGGAAACCTTTGTGTGAAATGGAGTCAGCCTCCAATGCTGTGGCCGAAAATGAGAGCATTATAATTGAAGACGTAGCCTTGAAATTGGAAAACTCTCCTCAAAATAAGCTTAAAGGTTTTTTTCTCCTCCCACTGGACAAGAAATCTCAGTGGTGTATTGATTGTGACCTGAGGAAAAGTGTTCTCTGCATTCGAACTAGGATTCACCAAAGTCTGAGTGGTCCCTTTCTGGAAAAAACTCAGAGCACAGCTCTCATGGATGTACCTTCCATCACTTGGGTGGCTCATGGCATAATTACAGAAGTTGAAGAAACAGACTCCAAAGAACCAGTGAACTTACGAATTGATTTTCTCATTAACCACATGCCCATGACAAATATTCCAGAAGCGATATTCTCCGAGAAGACAAGGTTTACTCTGGAGCTGATTACAAAGCTTCTGCCAGATGTGTAAGCCTACAAATCATATCTAATGAATAGCTGACTAAAATGTACAGTAAAAAAAAATACAGACTATTTCAATTTAAAGCTACTCTTTTGAGTATTGTTATCAACGGTATCTAGTTTAATGTGTCTCTTTAGATTATGAGCACGTCTTCAAACAATATATGCTTAATTTATTTTGCAGGCGTAAAGAGAATGCAATTAGCAGTCTAACCAAAGCTAACCACCTTGTGAAAACGATTGCCATTGGCAGGAAAATCAACTCTACAGGTACTACAGTTTCACGTTTATTGCTTCTTTGTAAAATCTTGCATATCTATATTTCAAACTATAGCAATTTACAGTGTGAGACATTTTCTTTTTCAAAACTCTTCAAATGTAGTTTAATTTTGTTTACCACTATATTTAACTCCTCAAAGGATGTACAAATCCGGAGCAGAACCCAGCCAGATTTGAGATTGACAATTATCTCCCTTCTGGGTTTTCCCATCTAAACAACAGTCAAATTAAAGCTATAAGAGAAGCAGTGACCAACCCGTTCACTCTTATCCAAGGACCACCAGGTGAGAGATGTTTTCTGTTCTGACCTTCATTGGTTTCACAAAGGCTATTGTAAGTTGTAGTCCTTTTCTGCTATTTTATTGTTGTGCATTTTCACAGGGACTGGAAAAACTGTCGTTGGTGTCCATATTGTGTATTGGATGCTCAAGAAAATCCAACAGCTTCCAACCTCCAGTTCGCAGAAGAAGAGAGCTATTCTGTACTGTGGCCCTTCAAATAAATCTGTCGATGTTGTAGCAGGTAATTTTTTGCAAATCGTGTTAAAATTTGGCATATTGGCAAAAGTAGGCCATTCAGGTATTCAGAATTTTTAATATTCAGAAGTACGCACTCACTGTAAATATGAGTTACATGATACACTTTTAAAGAACATTACCTGACCGATGATCACTGCAAATTGAACTGGTTATTCAAATGTGTGTTGCAGGTCATCTCCTAAAACTTAGAAAAGATGTTCGACCTCTCAGAATCTACAGTGATCAGATGGAGATGTTGGAGTTTCCTTACCCAGGATGCAATCTGAAGCTGTCACGCAATTCTAAAAGAGGGGAAAAACCAAACACAGAACTCAGGTATTCCCCAAATCTTGCCCATTAATCACTCTAATTATCAGTGTTGTGTGTGTATTTAAACCTTGATTTCCATTAACATATGTTTATTGTTGTTGTTTTTTTAGTTCCATTGCATTACACCACCTGATTCGAAAGCCTGGCAACAGATATTCCACTCAAATACAAGCATTTGATTTGAAAATCGCAAGAGGAGATCAATTCACTCCTGAAGAAAAAAAACTGTATGTATGGCTTAATAACTACACATCTCTTTTTGGTTCCAAATTATTGTTTCTTATTTGTTGGAAACTGTTTGGACACAATTACGTAGAAAAGAAAAGCTAATTTAAAGTTCACGTTTTTTGTTTTAAAGCCACAGAGAAATTCTCAAAGATGCTCGGAAACACGAATTATTGAAGCACGATGTCATCTTGTGCACTTGCACTGCAGCCTCACACCCTGCCTTGACTGAAACCCTCGACTTAAAACAGATCATCATTGATGAATGTGCCATGGCAACTGAACCCGAAGCCTTTATTCCTCTAGTGGCTCATAAACCAGAGCAGGTATGAATACAAACCAAAGTTCATTTTAGACAAAGAGTGATGCTGGATATTAGCAGCATGGATTGGTTGAATAACACTAAAGGCCGTAGAATACACGCATCACTCATATTGTTTTGAATGGGGAAAAGTTCAATGCTCAATATGTTGGAGAGCCAATCACAGATTGGTAAATTCATTGCGTCACTGCAGTTGCCGTTAGAAGCTCTAGAGTCAGTCAGACACGCGCTTCCACTGCGCATACATTAGCTTGATCCAGCTTGAAAAAAAGTGTTTTCTGTCATGATTCAAGTGTTTATTTACATCATTTATGAGACAGTTGTCAGATTTCATTGGTAATTTAAAGAATTTGATTTTGGAGAATTTGATGTTTCCCCATTCAAAAAGATAGGAGCTGCACTTGCATGCTTGAGAGGCGTTTCAAAGATGTCCGCCGAGTGAATTGACTTGTCTTAAAGGGACTTTAATAACACACATTAAAAGTTACTGGAGGCTTTACCTTGACATTCACATCAATGTGTAAAATGGATAGTATTCATTACTGTAGTTGAATCCACTTCTGGGTTCTTATACTATTATATTTTCTTGTTGTAGATTGTTCTTCTGGGCGATCATATGCAGCTGCAACCTGTAGTGCACTGTGATGTGGTGGAGCGATTGGGAATGAGCCGATCTCTTTTCGAACGTTACATGGAGAGAGCACTCATGCTTGACACTCAGTACAGGATGGTAATAAATGATCAGAATATAGCTTTAACACTGTATCTGTATTTACAAATTTCTTTCAGTTGTTGTTTCAAAAAATGGCACTTCTGTTGTTTTTTATTTAACAATATTATTTTAATTTAGTGATATTAAAACACTGGTCTAATAAATTACACCCCAGCAGTTATACTGTAATAGTTCCACTTAGTTCAGATTCTAATTTATTTTACACATCTTGTCTCTTACAGCAAGAGGACATCTGTGCATTTCCATCTCAAGAGTTCTATGCAGGAAAGTTAAAAACCGGAACTCAACACAAACCAAGTCTCTTGCATGCTCAATCAAGGCAAACATGCATAGTCTTTGGTCATGTTGAAGGAACAGAGAAAAGTCTGGTGGTCTCGACTGAACAGGGGAATGAAAATTCAAAGGCAAATGTGGAAGAGGCAAAAGAAGTGGTAAGTTAGAAGTGTAGTAGGCTGAAAAGGTGTATTTGGGGCTATAGTGTAAATAAAAATCTATTACCTATTAAGTTGTATGCTGCAGGTACAAAATTTGGTTTTGTTTAATAAGAGAAGGAATTGTTATCTATTATTTCATAAACCTAAAACCTCTGTACATAGCATAATATACAGCATATTATTCCAATATTTAATCAAAGGATGGATACGGTCTGGGCTAAGCCTCAAATATCCACTGACCCTATACTGTAAACGAAACCGCTCATGATCACTAATTTGGATATAATCATATTTCATATAGTTGCTACTTTTGTCTCTCATTTCACTCGTGGTTTCTACATAACACGAGCTAGAATAGTTCATTAGCGCCATCTTGCTATTCAAAATAGGACTAAAAAATGTTCTCAAAGTTGAATCACATCAACAGGCGGCTCCTTATGCGTCTAACTTATAAAACATGACAACCGTTTCCAAACAAACGAACAAATTATGTGTGACGTCAGTTCTTTTAACACAAAAAGATGATATTGTTAAACTTAACGTTACCTAATTACTCCGACTGATGCAGAGAGCATTACTCTTCTTCCAGATTCTCCTCAGTCCGCGATGTTGGGCGGCAAGTGTCGGTTAAGTTTCCTAGGAGACATGACGACTCCTCCTCAAAGCGCGCGCTTCACAACATTCAAATTTCAGGACGTTTTTATCCTAAACCGATGTCATTATTGGATGGCAGAAAGTAACTTAAAATAAAAAAAAAGCTTTTTTAATTCTAAAGACATCTTTGTCAAATTATTATAAAAACGTAATTATATTGAGCTGTATGTTGATCTAGATCAGCGCTGTAAAAAGTAAAAGACATCACGTGACCACCTCGTCTTACATTATCAGAGAGAGACATGGAAAATATAAATAAAAAATAATGTAATCTAAGCCCTACCTATTTCTGACACAAAGTATTTATTTATTTGTTCATTCATTCATTAAAACCATTTTTTGCTGTATAATCATTCTTCCAACAGGTGCGGATCGCCATTCTTTTGACTGAGGCGGGAATACAGACGAAGGACATCGCCATTCTCACACCATATAATGCTCAAGTTAAGAACATTAATGACTCGCTTTTAAATTATGGTATAAGTGACATCACAGTCAACACCATCATGAGGAGTCAAGGTAAATGCCATTTTACATCAACTATTCTGGACCCATGATTGAACATTTATGTATGCATTACATAAATGAATAGGGCACACAACTAAGTTAAATATTGAGATAGGCATTCTAAACTGTGTTTATAAATGTTTTACGCTTGATATTGTTTGTTTCTGTATTAAGGCATATATAGCCAATATTATTTTTTGATCTTTTTTCTTTTATTTGTTTGGCCACAGGAAGTGAATGGAAATATGTCATCATGTCAACTGTGCGCTCCTGCCCAAAGTCTGACATAGAGAGACAACCAACCAAATCCTGGATTATGAAACAACTTGGATTCATCACGGACCCACACCAGGTTAACGTGGGCATTACCAGGGCACAAGAAGGACTGTGCATCATTGGTTAGTTCAGGGTTATTAAGCTAAATGCCATTATAATGACACAATAGACCTCACTTTGATTATGCATTTTGTAATTATCAACAGTTAATGTCTGAATTGCAGTGCCTTAATTCTGTTATTTTGACAGGTAATGAGAACTTGCTGCGCTGCAGTGTCTTGTGGAGGAGACTTCTGGATCACTATCAGAAGAAAGGGTGTGTAGTGAATCCTCAGAACATCCAGGTTCAGAACCACAACAGAATTAAGAGAACTGCTAGAAGATGATGTGCTTTCTGCAGTTTTCCTTTTGTAGCCGCATTCACTTTATTCTCTAGCGGTGTTAAATATGCACTCATATTTATGCATTACTCAGGGAGCATTGTACCCGTCAGATGTGTTCATAAGCTTATTCATTAATACCGTAAAATAACCAATCTTGGAATGCACTTTAGTATATATTATATTAACTTTTTTAATGTATTTATTTTTGTCTGATTTATGTTGTAATTCAATCATATTTGACTATTCATTTTAATGCCAGAATTTTTGTCTTAAGTTTTAAGAGAACTGTAAAGCACATTGTATTTGTTAAAAAATACAAATTTTATATATAAAAGCAAAGTTAGTGTGATTTTTGCCGATGCAACTATGAAATATAGACATTTGACCACTGTAGCACCATTATTATGACTATAATCTAGACACTTGCAATGTTAAAATGTGTCCACTTAGTGGTGCTACTTGCATATAAAGCCAATCTAAGGAAATTAGTAACTCTGTATATTTGGATTCTGTTGATTTGAGATATTTCGTACCAAAACTAGTGAAACCATGTAGTCACATTTTTATATATAGTGTTATAGATGAATGTACAATTGCATAACGTTAACGTTAATGTATAAGGATGTATCTGTGTTCAGATCTTTACTTAATTTGCTCAAGCTGTAAAATGAAGGGGGTGATTGGTGTGTATTGGGACACTCTCCCCAGATGTGAACACTGAAGTCACTAATAAAAATCTGTGAATGTGATTAATTGCTTTTTTCCTTCTCTAATGTCGCAGTTCTTCATCATGTCTGTGTTTGAATCAGGTGATTTTGAGTGTGAATGAAGTCAGTTCTGCTCAAGTTTACACAGGTACCCAACACTACATCATTGATAAATCAATCATTTGCTTTATGTTGATAAATTAATCAAGTTTTCCAACTTATTTCAAGTCCAAATGTTTGAGGCCAATGTGGGTCTATATTTTGATATCGTACACACACACTCAACAACACATGCACACACACACTCACTCACTCAAACACACTCACACACACAGAGAGAGAGAGAGAGAAGGGTGTTATAAGGGGGAGACAGACGCCAGGCCGGTTTGGAAAAGACTCTGAGGAGAGCTGTGGTTTTGCGGGAGTGTGACGAGACATGGCAAGAAGAAAGAGAGAGAGAGAGAGAGAGAGAGAGAGAGAGAGAGAGAGAGAGAGAGAGAGAGAGAGAGAGAGAGAGAGAGAGAGAGAGAGAGAGAGAGAGAGAGAGAGAGAGAGGAGAGAGAGAGAGAGAGAGAGAGAGAGAGAGAGAGAGAGAGAGACCGCTGATGAAGGCGTATGATAAAGGAGTGGATACATGGATTGAAGACATACTTGAGAAGCACAATTGTTTAAAATATAAAGATATATTTTGAGAGAATGTCTTGACATTGTGTTTATTTTTCTAACTCTATGGGAGAAAAATAAACTTGAACAAATATTCGCCAAAAACTAGTTTTAATATATATATCACTTATATATCAACAATATATACACAGTATATATATATATATATTGTTAATACGAAAGTAAATGCTTGTTTTACGGATATTTACAGTAGATATTTTGAACAAAACAAGACAAGACTTGCCGTGCATTGCATGAAAAAGTGTCCAGAAACTGAACTTGTGCATGTGTGTATGAGAATAGCGCATTGCTTTTTTGAAATTGCACGTGTGTGTTTTTGTGTGAGTGAGAGTGTGCATGTTTGTGTCTGTTTGTGTGTGCATGTGCTGAGTGCGTCTGTGAGTGTGTGCATGTGTTTGTGTGTGACTGTTTGCATATGTGTATGTGCTGAGTGCATGTGTTTGTGTCTGTTTGTGTGTGTCTGTTTGTGTGTGCATGTCCTGAGTGCGTGTGTGAGTGCATGTGTTTGTGTCTGTTAATGTGTTTGCGTTTTGCTGAGTGTGTGTATGAGTGAGTATATGCATGTGTGTGTGAGTGCGCGTGCATGCATGTGTGTGTGTGTGTGTGTGTGTGTGTGTGTGTGTGTCTCATTAGGCTGTGAGAGGTTGGAGCAGGCCGTCTCCTCTCACCGCAGTCTTTGATGGGGTTCAATCAGCGCCACATGAGACGGAGGAGAGATGAAGTGGAGAATGGAGGGAAAAGATGTGGGATGAAAAGTAGCAGTAGATATATATATATATATATATCGGGGAAATCGTTTTAATGCCTGATGATGAAATTCAGGACATCAGGGTCTCTTGCTTGGTCTGTTCTCACTTTTATTGGTCCATTTCTTGATAATTATAGTTATTATATTATTTATGTTTAATTTTGTTGACAGGCAAGTAATCTGTGTAATTTATAATATTGTTTAAAAAAAGTGATTGTTTCCTAACAGTTTTTTAACAGACTATTCCATCTGCCTTTGTTGTCATTCTTCAGGGTTCTAATAGAACCATATTGGCTCTTGAAAAGGTTCTAAGGAGAAATTGACTGTATATCACTTTCATGTTTAACTGGTTATTTTAATTTCTCTAGTGATAAAGCATGTTTATGAGCTTCTAAATTCATTGAATTTAATTGCAATTTAATGAATGAATTGAATAAAACAAAAATCCATTAAATTATGAAACCCCGAAAGGTTATTAATGAAGTGCCGGACGGAACCCTTTAGGGTTCAGAATAGAACCTTTTCTGAAAGGTGAATATGGATTATTGAATTTTTAATAAACAAAATGTGTTTGAAATGTTTTGAATTGAAATATTCACAGTTTAAATATTCAACCATGTTGAATTTCAGCCTTAAAATGTAAGCATGCTTGTTTTTTTTAATTAGTGCGATTCAATAAGCTTTTTTGTTTCAAAAACATCTGGCACTATTTTACTTTCATAAAATAGTGCACTGAAAAAAGTGATTTTGTCGAGTGGTAAATATAATCTGTGGAAACCATATAAAATGTACATGATTATTGCAGGCAGCCAACGAATCCTAAAGTAATGGGTAAATTCTACATATGCTACCCATTCATCAACAGTAAGAATCATCACATAGAAAAATGGAGTAAAATATACCCCCAAAACGTGAGTTTTTTGCTTTAAATTGCGCATGCGTAGGCCCGCGGTTTCTTTTTGAGTGAGTGTGGGCGACGCTGGATCCTCTCTCTGGCTGCCATCGAACAGCAGAAAAGGTAAGCTATTAACATAGGAGTGCATATATATATTTTTAATTATGAGACATTACACTTCGCTTTTATTGGGCTTTCGTTTGTTTAACATGTCATTACTTGAAATTAAAGTTTGAATCTGTCGATGGCGTCACCATGGCGGAACACATCAAGCCGACGGTCGGCCGTTGGGCACAGATTTCAAAGTTACTATCAGATTTAATGTGATTACCTTGACAAATTATACATTATTAAACATATATAAGACTCAGGTTTCAGTATTTGACCACTGTTTCTGAGAAACTTATAGTGACCATATTAATTAATTTCAGGAGTATGCAATAAAAAACAGTCGATGGCGTTTTTAATATGAATTATGTGCGTCATTCATCCGCTCCCATTCATAAATACCTCTGTCGTCGTCATGACAGAGCTCGACCAAACAAGTGCTTTCAGCTCAAAAATATGCAGATTCTGAGAAATATTTATTGATTATCATAGGTTTCTGTCAGATTTCTGTATAACGTTAGAGGAATTATATTTATTGAATACACCAAAATGGGCCGATGTAATCATAGCGCTGGATACTCCTCGGATGTAGTGTGTTTTCAATACACACTGGCAGCCGGCGGGCGTCGTGTGCACATAATTTATAACGCTACTTCATAATATATCACGAAGAAGAGCCACATGACCTGTGACACCTGAAACCACAACAAAGTTTCCAAAGATCGCTGAATACTTGCAGATAACATGATTGCAACGATATATGACGCATTATTTGTGTTCTTCAAGCCATGCAGATAACTTCATAATATATTACATTTATAATGTAAGTTAATGTTAATCGATATAATCTTGATAGTCCAGAATACTATAAAATACAATATTTTATGTCCGTTTTTTTTATCCGAAGCCAAGTCAGATCACAGAAGGTTATTTAAAGCAATCGACATGCATTATAAAGTAATTTTGGAGCAAAAACATGGTTTTATAATCTCATAAATTGTAGTGTATTGATGTGTGCTAAGCTAACATGCTACCTAACCCTCAGAATGCACCTGCCATATATAGCTGTTAGATTTATGTTTTTTTTTTTAATAGGATGTTTACTGAAATGTTTCTTTTTTTAATTTACAGTTGATAGCCTACACTGTCAACAGAAGTGAAAACGGATCAAAGAAATTGAAGTGGTCAGCCTCAGCCCCTCTGTGGGTGTGTTTATTCTAAAGTGGCCAGCATTATTCACTGAAGCTCAGGTGAGAATTTCTTGTAATTTTTACTTATACATTCATGTGAATACTATGAGAGCTGGTCTTTAATTTAAAATGTAAATTTTGGTCATTTAACTTCCTAGATCAAGGAGGAGTTTAGACGCATCACAACATATTCCTTGGAGGAGACATTCACACGGAAGCTTGAGTACTCACAAGGTCTTTTGCGGCTAATGCGCGCCAAAGGAGAAGTAGCTGGTTGCAAGATGTGTCCTCTGCTGGACACTTTAAATGACGTATGTAATTTTATTTTTTCACAAATATGTAATTATTGATATGAGTGAATTAAAACTAAAGTAATTTGTAAACAATTGATTTGTTGTGCGCAAAGTTGAGCTCCTTACCAACTTAAACCTTTTAACATCAATGTGTGAATTCGGTCTTATCCATCTATTTTCTTTACTGCTTTGTCCGTTCGGGTCACAAGATTTTTGAGCCAACCCAGCATTTATCAGGTGAAGGGGCAGTGTTCATTCTGGATAGGTCGCCAGTCTGTTGCAGGGCCGTAATTCGGTCTTAGTATATGTAAATCACTCCCACTTCGCTAACATTCTAACATCACTAAATTGTATCTCCCTACAGACACAGAACATTGAGAAACATGAGATGCTGTTGTCTGCTGCCTCATTAAAGACAAGACTACCTTGGTGAAAATCAAGAAGATCTTTTCCATTACTACCAGGTATGTCATATTCATAACAGATTTTTGATTAACTCAAAGGATCCTCCTCTCTTCTTGTATCCACCTTCTCCTTTTGCCTTCCACTCCCCCTCTGCTCTCCTTTTAGATAAACTGAAATATATTGAAACAGCATCTTACATTAAATAAAAATGTGCATGCTTTTTGTTTGTTTTTTACATGTAGGAATGTGAGGACTACACAGACAAAAACATGAAGGTGATTGTGAAGCACAATGTCATGGCTGAGGAGGATCCAGATTTGTCTATTGTGATCGAGGGAAACCAAGTAATGGAATCACAGAGTTTAGATACAACAAAATGTGATTGGACTTCTTCCAGTACTGCTCTGATCTCCTCGCTTCTAGTTTCATTTTCTACTCTCTCCTCCTCCTAAAACAACAATGTTTTATTATCCAACATTATTGAAACAACATTTGATAGTCCAGTGAGTTAACATGTTCATTACTTGAAATGTTGTGTAAAGTTATTGTGCTGCACTGTATTTTGAGTGTTTCATATGAATTTTTGGATTAAAAACATTGATCTGATGAACCATGTGAATGTCTTTATTGTGGGGGGTACATTTTACCTTCTCTGAATAAGTAATTAGCTTTGATTTGAATAGATAATTTTTACCTAATTTTAATGAGTAAGTAGCTGTTGATAAATGGAGGTAATTGTTACCCAATTTATGCAAGTATTTAATAGCTTTTTACTTCAGATAGTTTATACTCACTAATATGGATTAAATGTACCCCACCAAAGTCGATGCAAATTGTTACCTCACATTTTTTGGGTAAATTCTATAGATTAGTTTTTACAGTGTGCAAATATTCCATGTAGACTTAATCAGAATGAGCTCATAAAATATGATTTTACAGTAGCATGCTTAGGCCTGTCAGAGTTTCAGGCCACACAGTCACATTGTATTATTCAGAAGCTCTGTTTTGTAAATGTGATAATTATATGCTGCTAAAATCCACGAAGGAAACGCATCATATTGTTTGAACACCGAGTCACGCCGTGTGAACTCATATTCAATAAAATCATCTGACTGCATGTCTTCATTAGTAATAATTTATGACGAGGCGTCCCGTGTCATCCGCGCTCGTGAATGCGTGCTGGGAAGTCCGGCTCTTTTCAAAGATTCGATTCTTTTGGTCGGCTCCCTTAGAAGAACCGGCTCTTATAGCTTCCAAATGGCTCTTCATTTAGCAACATTTGGAGCCTTCCATTTTAGTCCAATTTAGCAATTGTAAATGATTTGTGTGTTGGTAAGCACTTTGTTATTCAGTGTTTTCATGAAAGCCTTATTTTTCGTTACAAAAAATACACAGTTACTATTATTTAACATTTTAATAAATCTTTAATTGAACACACCACAGCAAACAAATCAAATAAATAAAGGGTTAGTTCACCCAAATATGATCAAGTTTTAAATACGGATTTTTTTTATTTATTTTACACAAACGCATCGTTTTGCTTCAGAAGGCCTTTATTAACCCCCACAGAGCCGTTTTGAACACTTTTGTCATGGATGGATGCGCTTTGATGGACTTCCAAAAAAAATATAACCATTGACTCCCACTATAAAGCTTGGAAGAGCCATGACATTTTTTTTTATATAACTTCAATTGTATTTGTCTAAAATAAGAATGTCATACACCAAGGATATGAGACAAGAGTAAATCAGGGTGAGTAAATCATGGGTAAGTAACCCTTACTTCAGGGTGAGTAAATCATAGGCTAATTTTAATTTAGGGGTGAACTATCCCTTTAAGAGACTTAGCATGCGCCTGAAGAGTCGGCTCTTCTCGTTCGCTACAAAGAATCGGCTCTTAGAACCGGCTCGTTCGCGAACGACACATCATTAATGCGTGCGTCCGTACATGTGTGAGTCTCTCCGCCACCGTTGTACAGATGTGACCGCAGTGAACCGTGTTCCCCGTTTCTTTCCACAACAAAGACTTATTAAACAGCTCTGGCTCGCAGGCCTCGATCGCAGCGACCGCCAGCCGCACTTCCACAAACACGAAGAACAGTTTAAACCTATTTTTTATACAGTCTTTGGTTTAAACCGAGAGCTGGAGCGAGGAAGGGCCTCCGCTGATTCAAACCAGACGAAACTGCCTGCCTTACTCTTTAAATTAGTCCCACATTATGTCTGATTGTTTAGGAAGCACTTACAAACTTACTAAAGAGCAGTTAGCTCGAAAAATCTATCAAATAATTACAGGTCACTGGAAGAATAGTGTTTAGCCCTGCTGTGAGTGAGTGAGTGCGAGGGAAACGTGTGTGTTTACACGGATGAATAAAGATAATGTGTCTGACTTCAATAACACAAGCTGGATTTCACATTCTTTAGACTCCATTGTGGTGTTTTTTTTATTGAAATGTAGTCTATAGTGTGTGTGTGTGTGTGTGTGTGTGTGTGTGAGAGAGAGAGAGAGAGAGAGAGAGATGTGAGTGTGTGTGGATTTTCACATTTTTCAGATTCCAGCTGCTGTATAATAAACAAGTGTCAGAAAAGTAAAAAGAATGGCACTTGTTTTTCAATATATACTTACCAACAATATTACAGGCTAGCCTATGGCATTTCTGTGTGGATCCAAATGTAAATGCAAATTTAACATGGGGTTAACTGGGTGATTGCTTGGATGCTGCAATGCAGTGTACGCAGATGTATTTTAATTACGTTGCAGCTGTTCGAAGTGGTTGCTAAGGTGTTGCTAGGCGTTGTATGGGTGCCAGGCGTCCCCTTTTGAGTGTACACAAAGTGAAATAATACAATCAGCAGCAGAGCTGCATGTGTTTGTTTTGACCAACAGAGGGCGCTGCTCGCTTTAAGTGTTATATTGTTCGTCTTATGCTACCGCTAGTTTTCCCAGTGAAACAACTCGACCAGAATGAACGACCATCAGCGAGTATCACCATCAGCTTCAAAGTAAGTAAGGCATATAAAACTCTCACACAAATATATAAACTCCTAACTAAATATTTATATTTTATACGCAAATTTAGCACTGCGATTGGCTGCTAGCATTCATTTCCATTCAGGTAAAGAAAGAAAGCACGTGCACGCGCCGTCTCGCAGTTTTTATGGAAGGCCAATCCCGCCAAAAACATGCTTTGGTATATCTTTTTTTACGAAATTGTGTCAAACTACGACATAAAAAGTCGAAATTGTGTGAAACTACGTCATAGCTAAAAAAAAAAATTATTACAGACTATCTGATGATTTACAAACTTTTTTAACGTGGCGGCTTCCAAGATGATCAGTTTTAAATAGTGTTGCATAACATATAAAAATTACTATATTTGGACCTATCCGGCGGGATGTTGATCCTGTGATCTTTTCTACTTTTCATGTCACCATTCACTAACCTGCCATGGTTTAGGTTTATTATTTATGTATTATGATTTGTGTATTATAAAGTAGCCCCGGGCAATTTGTATGCAGCGTAATAAAAAATATACACCACAATATAAAACAAGATAAATAAGAACACACAACAGTAGGCTCCATACATTTAAAATATTAATATATACCATTCTGAGTATTTAACAATCTGATTGTACAAGGGATAAATTAATATTTGTATATCGTTTTTCATCTTTGATAGTTTTATTATAGCAAGAGCAGTGCAAAAAAGTCACTGTCTGTTGAGAGAGAGAGAGTGTGTGAGAGTGCATCTGTGTGTGTGTGTGTGTGTGTGTTGTGTACTGTGTATGTGTGCATCTGTGAGTGAATGTGTGTGTGAGAGAGAGAGAGAGAGTATGTGTTGTGTGCATATGTGTGTTGTGTACTGTGTGTGCATCTGTCTGTGTGTGTGTGTGTGTGTGTGAGAGAGAGAGTGTATGGGAGTGCATCTGTATGTGTGTGTACAATGCGTCTGTGTGTGAGAGAGTATGTGTTGTGAGGATATGTGTGCATTCTGGTGTGTGTGTGTGTGTGTGTGTGCACGTGTGGATTTCCACATTTTTCAGATTCCAGTGGGTTTGTTTAAATTTAAGTATAGCCTATAGAAGAAACAAGTGTCAGAAAATGTTTTTTAGAATCATTCAGCCTCTGGATGAGATGCACGCGCGTGTGTGTGTGTGTAGTGCGCATCACAGGTGTATGGTGTCTCAGCGGCTCAGTTTCCGGCAGCTCCAGTAGGGGGCGTCGTCCCCCAGGCCGGCGCGTGTGACGTGACGTGGGCAGCTCGCGGTGGCTCTGGTCAGGCAGACTGGAGCCCTTGGGCGCTGGCATGCAGTTCAGCGTTCGGGAGCGGCCCCCTCAAAAACCATCTCCTCAGGGGCCACACCCACCGCTCGCTCTCTGTGGGGGACGAGTGTGTGTCTCAGAGCCAGCGCGTTCAGAGACCGCTCGCCTCAGCCAGGGGAAGTCAAAGCATTCGGCTTTATTTTCGAGCCCAGACTGCGTGGCATTCGCTCGCTCCAAACGAGTGTACATGCACATCTGGGAAAGTCTGTGTACAATCACTTCCTCCGAGTCTGAGACGAGAAACTCAAACTGTCCTTGACCTAAACATCAAATGTCAGGGTTTTTTTTTTTAAGGTGGTCTTGACTTTTATAGCACTCCTGAGTGCGAGTGAGAGAAAATGGCCTTACGGTGAGGAGGTGGAAGCGGTGTTTTCTTTAGTGATGGTTATATTTCACCACCAACTTGTGCTTTAGCTGCAGGGTGTGTGTGAAGCGTTGGGTGGTCCGAGCTCTCCTTGGGTTTCAGACCTGCCGTGTTTAAAGGAAGGGCTCTTTTTAGGTAAAATGTGCTTATTTTTACTTGGACCACTTGCTTCAGCTCTTTCTATATTGCTTAATCTCATGGAAATGTGCAGGTTGCTACGGAAGCTTGTTTCCGCCACTGAATTAAAAAAAAATTAATAATAATAATTGCGACTTTTCATCTCACAATTGCGAGATATGAAGTCAGAATTGTGATAAATAAAGTCGCAATTGCGAGATATAAAGTCAGAATTGCGAGATATAAAGTCGCAATTGCGAGATATAAAGTCAGAATTGCGAGATATAAAGTCGGAATTGCGAGATATAAAGTCAGAATTGCGAGATATTAAGTCAAAATTGCGAGATATAAAGTCAGAATTGCGAGATATAAAGTCAGAATTGCGAGACATAAAGTCAGAATTGCGAGATATAAAGTCAGAATTGCGAGACATGAAGTCAAAATTGCGAGATATAAAGTCAGAATTGTGATAAATAAAGTCGCAAATGCGAGATAAATAAAGTCGCAATTGCGAGATATAAAGTCAGAATTGCGAGATATAAAGTCAGAATTGCGAGATAAATAAAGTCGCAATTGCGAGATATAAAGTCAGAATTGCGAGATATAAAGTCAGAATTGCGAGATAAATAAAGTCGCAATTGCGAGATATAAAGTCAGAATTGCAAGATATAAAGTCGCAATTGCGAGATATAAAGTCAGAATTGCGAGATATAAAGTCGCAATTGTGTGATATAAAGTCAGAATTGCGAGATATAAAGTCAGAATTGCGAGATATAAAGTCAGAATTGCGAGATATAAAGTCAG